TATTATATACAAAACAGTCTGGTGCTGGGAAGTTGCTGCGTGGTAGAGGAGTTGCTGTGCAGGAGCTTCTTTAGAGGAGGTGTAGTGTGTTGCAGGGCTCTCGGTAGGATGGACTTCAACGGCGAGGCTGGGAGCTTATATACACATCCACTGGAAGCAAAACCGGAAGTAAGCGTCGCCGGTGTCGAACCCCCCCCAGTCTAGACGTCTAGACTTGACGCGAGTCTAGGCGGCTAGGCTTGTCAGAGAAACTTCGTCGCGGGATTGGCTGTTCAGTGACTAACGGCAGTAGCAGTTGTAGGGGAGAGTATCCACTACAAAATCATAGCCAGTAAAGTAAACCATTCGATCGATAAATATATACGTAAGACCAAACCCAATGCCTTCAGGAATACAAGGAGGTCGGCAAAGTTGAAAAGAAAACTCAGGATTTTGAGACGTAGGTTAGGACAAATGATTAGCTGGACAGGAGGATGCATGCCATATCCAGGAACCAAGCAAAGTCAGAGTGCAGAAGGACTGAAAAATGAGTTCCTGAGGTAGATTGCTAGTGAGGTTAAATCATACCCAAAGGCTTTTTACCTCTATGCAAAGTCAAAATTAAAAACACGAGTAGGCATATCGGACCTGAGGTTTGAAGATGGTAGTTATGCAGATTCTGACCTGGATAAGGTGGGGGCGTTGAAAAAAAAATTTTCATCGGTGTTCACAAGAGAGGATGCGAACAAACTTCCTGCGTTTGAGGAAAGACGGTTTGACACAGAGCTGACCCACATTGCGTTCTCGGATGAGGTTATAAGAAGAAAACTGTCAAAGTTAAAGATTCACAAGAGTTCTGGCCCAGATATGGTATACCTCAGAGTGTTAAGAGAACTGTGTAACAAGCTTGCGGAGCCCCTTAAGATCCTATTCTCCAAATGTCTGGAGGAGCCAAAGGTCCCTGATGACTGAAAAATGGCTATGTGAGTCCTATATTCAAGAAGGGCGATCATCACTCCACGAATAATTATAGACCAATGAGCCTGACCAGCATAGTGTGCAATGTACTAGAGAGCATCGTAGGAGATGCCATGATGGAACATCTACTACGAAACAACCTTGTAAAGGAATGCCAACACGGTTTTATGCCGGGAAGATCTTGCTTAACACAATTACTCAAGGTAATAGATGTTTTAGAACAAGGCAGAAATATTGACACTATACAGTATATCTAGATTTTGCCAAGGCTTTTGACAGTGTACCCCTTGAAAGGCTGAGAATCAAACTGGAAGGGTACGGGATTTGGGGAAGTGTCCCAGCGTGGATTGGAGGCTTTCTGCATGACCGCAAACAGTGTGTGGTGATAAATGGTACAAAATCATCATGTGTGCCTGTGACTAGCGGGGTACTAAAGGACAGTATATTTGGCCTGTTGTTGTTTGTCTGTTTCATTAATGACCTGCCAGAAGCTATGCACTCCTCCATACAAATGTTTACAGACAATGTCAAGTTATTTAGGGAAATTAAGAACTAAACAAATTGTGAAAAGCTGTAGAAAGACCTCTACGAGCTTCAAGAACGGTAGAGGAAATGGCTGCTAAGATTCAATGTCATTAAGTGCAAAAGGATGCGCCTGGGTCACACCAATATTAAGGAAGTGTATTACATGTCCCAACAGGGCGAAGAGACTGCATTAATTGAGACCGAATGTGAAAAGGACCTGGGTGTGTATGACGACAATGAACTTAAGTTCTCGGGCCACTGTGAGAAGAAGGTGAATCAGGCATTAAAACTAGTAGGTCTCATAAGAAGGTCGTTTAGATATCTGGATGATCCGTCGTTCATCACGATCTTCAAGAGTGAGGTGCTTCCTCATCTGGAGTATTGTCACCCCGTCTGGTACCCAAGGTATGCTAGAGACTGTCAATTGATTGAAAATGTCCAAAGGAGGCCCACCAGACTGGTACCTGCTCTACGGAGCCTCAGTTACCCAGAGATTGGAGCGCCTGCAATTACTGTACCTAGCTTATACTACAGACGGGCGAGGGGCAACCTAATCGAAGTGTATAAACATCTCAGGGGGCACTACTCGGTCAAATGTACATAACTGGAGCTGGCGGACGTCCGCCCCACAAGGGGTCACAGCTCAAGGTTGATGAAGCCACAAATCCAGAAAACTGTGAGGGCAATTTTTTTCATTGAGAATTGTGAGCTCTTGAAACAATCTGCCAGAGGCGTTGTGACTGCACCGAGTGTGAGCTCTTTCAAGGCAAGACTTGACCAACACTGGAGCAGGTTCAGATACATTCAGGAGCCAGTGCATGCCCCATACTTGCCAATAGTGTATAACAGAGACGTGACTGACTGCCCAAGCGACTAAAGAGCCAATCAGTGGCAAAGAGGATAAAAAGTAAAAAAAGTAAGTTTTCATTTCCAATATGAATGTTTACTATGCATATATTTAAAGAGTACAGTAATTATATTAGTAAGTTGAATTTCAATGTTATTTGACTAAATTTTTAACGTGAATTTTTTACTAATTTCAACTACAGTACATACAAACACGCACCAGCGCTTTCAGTCTGGACGGGCAAGATGAAATTAGTTTATCTTGCTTGTGTTGGCGGGCAACAAAAGTTCCCCGATTCACACACGGAGTCCACCAAACAGGCCAGTATAATATCATCGATTGCAATGTGACATCGGAGATCGCCATTAAAACAGACTAGTGAGAATTGGGCTTTACCTATTGAATGTAATAAAGTATATGCAATTCCTATCATAAGGTACTGCAACCTTTAAGATGTAAACAACTACAGTACAGTAAAGTACTTGCTAATTTGAAGAAACGGCAGTGGTGGTGTGATGGCGATGTTACTACATCGCAGAGGTAGGAGAGGAAAAGAAGGCATAGGAGGAGGAGGAAAAGACAGCAATCTCTCCATAGGGTCATCAGGGCATCAACACCCCTCTGCAATGCTATGTGACCACAAGTAGTAACCGAGTTTGCATAAGTAATATTACATAGAAAATCTACGCATTTCAGATATTTTTATTATTGACTGTAACATAATCTGAGAAGTGCCTCCACTCAGTCTAACACAATTCTTTTTAACTTTATCATTAGCACGTAACTGGCACAATTTTTTTCCTCTGAATAACAGCTGTTCCTAGAAAGTCCAAAATTCTAAAAAATAATTTCACTGTAGATATGACTACTGTAAATGGTCTCGCAAGCACTTCAACACTTCCTAATAAGTTTATTTAGCCCCTTATATATGAGGGGTCTCTCCTTGCAGAATAAAATCGCCAGCATTAGCCAAATAAAATACAGTAAGTCCTCGTTTAACATTGCCCCCGATAACATTGTTTTGTTATAAAGCCGCTACTCTTTAGATACCATTAATTCCGTTAACGTCCCAACGACTCGATATAACATCGTTTTTAGCGTCATCACGGACTACTTTTTACGGTGCATCACCTTCTCTCATCTTGCCGCGCTACGCCATCTCGTCTTTACGCGCTACCTCTCACTCCACTCCATTACCTCCGCCCATCAGTGAGTACAATACAAAATGATTTAGTTTGATACTATTTTCTATAAAAATGTCATTGAATTTCTGTAAATGTAATGTATTTCATGGGGCAAAGGGAGGCTCAGGAACATAACTCACGTATTTTATCTATTTCTTATGGGGAAAATTGATTCCATTAATGTTGTTACCGTTAACGTTTTTTTTTTTTTTTTCATTTATTGGGCACCCCCTACATCCTTGTGCAAGGTGAAGCGCAGAAGCATTTACAGTGCCCAACAGGGAAGCATGCTAAGTTTATGCTTGCCTTTATGTCTCATAAGTTAAGGGCGTAGAAGTCTGAAGAGTCAAGGGCGTAGAAGCCTGAAGAGTCAGTGGTTTATGTCAAGTTATTGGAAGCTCCAACAACTTGTCCCTGAATACGAATTCGCAACTTTCGACTTACAGCAGGTACCTACTTTACTGCTAGGTGAACAGGGACGAAGAGGACTAGGATGAGTGTCCAAACAACTTCCGCCGGCCCGGGAATCGAACCCGTGACATCTTGCTTGCGAGGCAAGAACGGTACCGCTCTACCACCAGCTCCCCAACCGTTAACGTTGCGGTTTTCAGGAACGGAACCACGGCGTTATGCGAAGACTTACTGTACTGTGCTTAAAGTAATGTCCATTTGTGAAGGTTAAGTACTGCCTCGTGGGGAATATTAATCAGATTTGTTTTCTTCAAAACTCCTCATTCAAGATACAGTAATTACTTTTTCATAATTTCAAAATACAGTACATATACTGTAGACCTAATGTCCTTTCAGTGTACACTACATTTGTCTTTTCTTTTCAGCAACATTTCCATCATCTTAGCGCCAATATTTCATGTATGAATTTCTTTTTCCAGTACGAGATTAAAAGATGTAAAGAAATTTTTTGGGGGTCTTCAACAGCGATTCCCAGTTTCTTTTTATATTCAATTTCATAAGCATTACAGTAATCCTGTTTCAGATGTACAGTATAATTATCTTTGTTCTATATGTTTTTCATAACTTTTATTTGATTAGTTACACTCAATACACTCTATAGTAATTGTCATATACTGTAGTGTCTAGACAACTCCGTAAAGTTTGCTCCCTAACACTTGCCCTGCTGTGTTTGAATCCTTGTACAGTATGAAACAAATGGTTCCACACCACTTTCTAAATTACTCATAACTGAATAAATGTAATATAACTAAAGTATTTAAACTACTCTGAATGCAACCAGGAGCAAACAAGTTGCAAAGGGTGTTCGTGGTAATGATAACAGGCATCTCTCTCACCAATACGTCAAGGGTTCGAGTCCTGCTTGGCCCAGACACCTTTGAGAAGGAAGTTTATCCAATGTGACCCTACCAAATATCACAGGTTTCCCACACTCTAGTTTCCTTTTGTACTAACACTGGACAGATCAACCACCCAAATGGATAGTAATCTCATATGTGGTGAAATGAAATCATAAATAAAATTAAGCAATTGATTTAGGAATTAATTTGGTAAACATTGGTCCAAAAATAGAGTTGTGGAGTGAGTAGAACAATTTACTAAACACCATCATCATCTCGAACATGTTGGAAAGTTTTAAATACTGCATAGGTCGGACAGATGTACGAATGATAAGGGTTAGATGTACAATCAAAGACAAAAGTCGTGTCGCGGTTTTGTCCGAAGATTAAATATACTTGTAACTCGTGAAACATTATGAGAGCCCCCTACCACAAGGCAGAGCGCACCGAAAGTTTAGCCCTTCGGCATATGTTTTCACCAAATTTCACGACACGACTTTTGTCTTTCATTGTACACAGGGCAGCTACTTCATTCTTATGTTCTTATTAATCCAAATTTTTCCCCTATACTCATCCAACCCTCCATAAGATGTAACTTTCTATATAAGGATACACATTACTATATGTAACATCAAGGTAGAATGCAGAAAGAGAAAGTTTTACCCGATTCATGTAAAATCACTTTAATTATCAAACATTCAGATAATACTCATAATGTAGGGATGGAGGCCCCCAAAATACATAAAAAATAATGAATAATAAAGAAATTTAAAAAAAAAACATTTCATACCACACACTATTTAAAGCAGCTTCATTTGGTAGTTTCTTTACACAAGTCTAGTGTGATTCAAACACTGTTTATTTCTTAGGACTTATTCCATTATTTCACCCTTTAAAGGGTAAAAGAGAATGGAAAGCAAAGACATTGGATGTGATATGGCAATTTGAAACGGGAGAAAAACCTCTGCAAATAACCAGGTATTGTATAAAGTAATTTTTTGTTTAACTAACAACAAGAAATTGCATAAGAAATTTATATAAACAACTACAGATACATATACTGTACAGTATTTGGTAATGCTACTATTTGTTAGAATAGCATACTGTGTGTGTATATGTTCACTACAGACTACAGAGCTTATGTAATGTTCTCTTGCTGTTATACTACTTTCCTGCATTGTGTTTATATTAAAAAGTATTAATAAAATGTACAATTTTTTTTTTTTTCTATTTTAACCCAGCAGATGTTAACATGTTTAAATAAAAATCTACATAGTACAAGGACACTATTTGGTAGCCCAAGTGCTGTGTTCATCCAAAACATGTACGAACAGGTATGTAAGGTACGCACACAAATTTTCACTCCAGCTCATTTTAATTATAAAAATATTAATATGGTACACACTGTGATGTATAAATTAATATTATCATAACCTGGTGGTTTAAAAGATCAATCATTAAAAAAATTTTTATACATATATAGTATATATATTACCTGCATCTTCTCCCTTTTAACCCTTTTTGGACATATCACACAACAGATGCAGTTGCAATGACTGTTTGTCAACATTTGGGAAGGCAGAAAGTCAAGATGATGTTGCAACAATGCAAGAAGATCTGCATGTGCTGTTCAGATGGTCTTGAGGCTGGCAATTATTCTTTAACAATATGAAATGAAAGACTCATATAGGATACAACCCTAATCACAACTATTCTGTTACTGACACTCTCCTGGATACTGTTGATTAAGGAAAAAGATCTAGGCATTGTGTTAGATCAGTCACTGAAGGTAACACAACAAGTTGGAGCACCAACATGGGTGTCTGCTAAGGGGGCTCCTGGCAGTTGCCCCCCCCCCTCCCCCTGGACCAAGCTTTTGGTAGACAAGTAGGTGAGGTATGTGAGGTCTGGATAGGTTAGGTCATTGAGGTAAGATTCTCCTGATCCTAGGCTCAGGAGTTTGGCAACACTGGTAAAATTTGATCAGGTTATATACAGTAGACCATTCACCCACTGACCACATCTGTTTTAAATTCAGTCATTTATTTTGTCAGAAAACATGAGTTTATATGGTGTGAAAAATTTTGTATTTCTTTAAAAGATATTGACATGATTTTGCTGTGGTACAATAATTTTATATTAAAACATAAGAATGGACTAAAGTGCAGGAGGCCTATTGGCCCATACTAGGCATCCATATTTACACCCCACCCACATTACTTATATGTCTGTCCAACCGATACTTGAAGCTTCCCAGCAAGCTCACGTTAATGATAGTGTTAGGTAATTTGTTCCACTCATTCACAACTCTATTCCAAAACCAGTTTTTTCCTATCTCATGCCTAAATCTAAATTTGTCTAATTTAAAACATTGCTACGTGTTCACTTCTGGTCAGATAGTTTAAGTACTGTGCCTTTGTTATATCACCTTCGCTTAACCCTGACTTTTATTTATACACCTCGATTATATCACACCCTCACTAAGCCTCTCAAGGAAGTGCAGACTCAGATGTTTTAATCTATCACCATACACAAGGTTCCTAATGACCGGGATTTGCTTTGTCATCCTCCCCTGAATGCTCTCTAGGGATTCAATATCCATTCTGTAGTACGGTGACCACAACTGAACAGCATAGTTCAGGCGAAGTCTCACATACGCAAGATATACTTTAAGTATAACCCCACTAGTCTTGAAATTAACGAACACTTCTTGATATGAACCCAAGTGCTGTATCTTGTGCTGTATGTTTTGAGCATACAGTACAGTATATGCATTGCATGGCTCTGTGATTTTCTTTCAAGACAGTGAACTATTGTTTTGGTACCATGATTTTAGATCATTGTCAATTTAATTTACGGTGATTTTAGATATACTGTACTGTGCTGCCAATGTGCAGCAATATCATGGTATCATGATTATAGATCATCAAAATTAGCAGCAGAGCTGCACATTGAGTTAACCCTTCACAGAGACTGTGGTCAGCAGAAACACCGTTCAATCAATATTCGTGACTATCATATTGGGATTCCATCATATCTTCCTTCCTTGGAAACCCGATGTTCTACTAAAACTACAAGTGGCAAAGCTTATATGTAAAAAATTCAAGGACCAGATTGCAAAGACCATTAAACTGTATGAAATTTAAAACTTAGGTGAAGCAGACACCCGATTCGAAATTTGGTCTCCAAAAAGAACCAAGATGAGGAACTTCAGGATTTACTCAAACACACTGATCAGTTTCCTTCTATTACACAAACAATTATTATTACTCTGACAATCCTCGTGACAAAATGCACAGTGGAAAGATCATCGAGCACAAAGAGAAGGGTAAAAATCTGGTACAAGAAAGTTTATCTGGACCATATACTGTATGATGAATGTTCATTGAACAAAGATTTGTGAAAATAAACCAGAACTCATCCAAAAGTAATTGATAGACTTGGATAAGACCCGAGATGCTTGCAGTTTTTATTCCACAATAACTCGGGTGGTAAGAACAGACTTAATTATAAACATATCAAAAGAAAGAACTAAGAAATAAACGAGCAGCAAGCTAATCACTGGACTGATTGTAATGTGTGAGAAATACATATGCCAGTAGAAAACAACATTAATCATAAGATGTAAGAAACAAACACACCATTGAAGTGTCATAGACTGGAGAAACAAATATATCAGCAAAGTGATATAAGTACAATACTCAAACCGCATAAAAGAGAAACATCTCAGTGGAGCGAGACGAATAAGGATGTAGAATACATGGGAAGATCCAAGATATGGAAGGATGACCAGTAAAGTATATAAATGGGTAAACCAAAATAAGGCACAGATAATTGGAGGTTATGTGTGTACCATTCTGCTGTACAACAGTAAAATATAAATTGATCAAACTCAGGGAAATAGGATCAAGTATCCACATTTCACCCAGAAAGAATATTGTACGGCAATAAATTTTCTGATCACTACAACCTTATACACAACAATTGTTTCCACCTATATTTCATTCTCTGACTTGTAACTCTCAATCCATGTTGAAATATACTTCTTCTCTAATATTCTAGCATCAATGACTGACTGTGGGTCATCAGGGTTTGAACTCCTGAGGTCCAGGTGGTGAGCACCCTCAGGTATGATTATGGACACCACAGAGTCACTCACATTCCACATGACTCCACCAGTTGACCATGGGTCCAGTAAGCCATTGCTGTAAAAACCAACTAGTTTCAATTTACAAAAAACACTTAGCCTTTTTAGATGAGACCTATTATATATATATAATGCATGAACCAATAATTTGTGTCAAACCCAAACTATAAAATATATTATCAGACAAAAACCTCATTCCTACCTAAAGACAATATTGCTGGCAGCTGAAATGTCCTTCCCACCATATATCATAGGAGCCATCAGAGGTCGGGGGTATATGTTCCACGACTCATAGCATTTTGTTGCATATGCCTTGAAATCCCAAGGAGAAGGCTCGAAGAAATCCTTTACACCATCATAGCACATTGGCATCACCATCTCTGTACAAGCCTACAGAAAGAAAACCATACATTTAATCATTACTACATTCACTTAAATAACTAAGGATGGATGTCTTTCTTCCATTCTAATAACTGTTGCTGAGCTTGTATTTTGAGAGACCTCTAACTGATTCTGACTTGAGCTTCTTTAAAATAACTATGGTTCAGGAGTACAAGTACAGTAAGTCCTCGCTTAACGTCGTGGTTCCGTCCCTGAAAACCGCAATGTTAACGGAAACAACGTTAACGGAATCAATTTTCCCCATAAGAAATAGATAAAATACAAGAGTTAGGTTCCCCAGCCTCCCTTTGCCCCATAAAATACATTACATATACAAAAATTCAAGGGAATTTTTTGAAAAAATAGTATATATTATACAACCAAAAAGATAAATAAACTAAATCATTTTGCATTGTACTCACTGATGGGCGGAGGTGAAGCGAGTGTGTGGTAAGTAGTGGAGAGGAGGGTGGTGAGTCACTGAAACCCAGAAGGTGGCTCCTCCTCCCGCTCTGACTGGGTGAGAGAGGGTGATGCGCCGTACAAAGTAGTCCTTGACGAAGTTATACTGAACCGGCGGGACGTTGTCCGAATCATGGGTATTTAAACAGTCGCGATGTTATAACGAAACAAAGTTGTCGGGGACAACGTTAAACGAGGACAAACTGTAATGCAATACTGTACTCTTAACCCCTTTGAAATGGCCTAAACCGCCCATCATATGTCAATGCGCATGGCAGCTCACTACAGTATATTTATCAGTACCATAACTGAATTTTTCACCCATCACTCACTTGGAGGCTATATTCAAGACATATATTTATGTTTTCTATATACAGTAATTACATTACATTATAGGTTATGTATTCATATAATATCTAAATCATTAAGGCTGTTGGTGGTACAGCAGTAGCACCTGGGTTCGAGTCCTGGCCCAGGTCAGACGTGGGAAGTGTTATCCAGTGTGACCCTAACAAGCATCATGGGTTTCTTCCGGGTACGGTACTGTATTCCAATTTCCTCCTGTACCAACACTGGACAATAAAGGTCATAATAAATTAACAACAGAACCATAAATACATAAACAGTGTTCATGAATACACTAACCTGGAAATCCCATCCAGAAGTGCTCAAGTTAGAATCTGCTGCTTCATCTGCATTCAGGCATTTGGCTTTACCCGTAAAATTGAAGTATACAGAAACCCCTGCAAAGAGCTCTTCCAGTAGTGCCTTGGGTTCAAGTGTAGGTTCGGTCAAATGAGTACACACCACCTGTGATAAAAATAAACGATTGAAATATGAAATCTCATTTTAGGGACAAGAAAAGGCAAGTAACCTTGATGCACCTCCTGACAAGCCTGTCCTAGCCAGGGGCTTGACATGGTCAAATTGCAGGTTACACTACCTAAAATCCTAAATGAACCAGTGTTGAACCAAAACTTTCAACCCTTGGATCCAGTGAGACTTTGAAATCACAGGATGAAAGTCTTAAAATAGGTTATTTTATTGCTTCAAACCCTTTACCAGAATAAAGGTTAACAAGATTAAGAGGTATGAAGAAGTTGCACTTATAGATATGCTGAATAGTGCCAATGCAAGAGGCGAGGTATTCAGAATACTGGTTTAAACATCAGGCTTCAAAGAATCTTGATTCCCTATTCAATATTGTACTGATTTTATTTTTCTTTCATAATACCCTCAAATAAAAACAAAAGTGCTAAGTGTAAAACAAAAGAATGGAAATTGTGCTAACTGGCCAGGTTTGGAAATAGAGTAGTAGATGAATGGAACAAGTTACCAAACATAATTATTGACTCGAATACGATGGATAGCTACAAACGTAGGTTGGATGGATATATGAGCAATAGAGGTTGGGTGTAAATGGGACTGCCCAGTATGGGCCAATAGGCCCGCTGCAGTTTCCTCCATTCTTATGTTCCCAGCTGATCCTCCCCTCAACCGTCTATCGTGTATTGCCGGCATTCTACAATCATTTCTTCACTTCCTAATTCCAAACTTTCTTTTACAGCTTTACATCTTTATGAAATTTAAGTACAGTACTGTATAAGAAATAATTTTCCACATATTACATAAGAGTACACGGGGAGAAATTGGGCAATCAGGCAACTAGCTGAGTGATTGTGCTGGTGGAGACAAGTCTACTGAATCTACATTGGGTTAGTTTGAGGAGAAAGTTATATGGTGATTGTAGTAGAATGATGACATATTGAAAGCTTATTTATAGGCTTAATAACATTACAAGTGTTGGAGAATGATGAGAAAATGTTGGTGAAATAAAAAAATAAAATGATTACCATATTTTCATTATTACCAAAGGAAAAAAGAAAATACCTCATAGGAAAAAACATGTAACCTTCGGGTTTTCATTCATCAATACAAACATGGGATAAAATTTTTTTTTTTTACAACTACCATTTTTGTAAACCAGGAATTGCCTGTACAGTATATTAATATGGTACAGTACATAATAAGTTGTTAGTTGTGTTACAGGTGGATGAGACTCATAACTAAACGAGTCAATTAATGAATTCAACAGAACTATAACTGTTTTCCTGAAGGTATGTAGGAGAAGGAGGATGTTGGAAACTACTGTAATACGATTAAGAGTTAAATTTTAAAGCTTCAGAGGATGAGATAGTACTGGAGAAGTGTAATATATATTTCAATGTAAAGATCTTGAGGTGAAGGGTAAATTGAGATACAGTGGTCCCTCAGTTAACAAACGGTTCGATTAACGAAATTTTGGTTAACGAATTAGCTCCCATAGGGATTTTCAGTTCGATTGTTGAACAAAACTTCGATTAACGAAATCCTTACGACAAACGCATTTTGTTATGCGCATCAGCTGATCAGCTAGAACGCCAATACAGTAATTGGTTCTATGTGCTCTTTAACATTTTTGCATTTTTTATATTAAAATTATTTGTCATTTTAAAATTTAGTTAACATATTGATATTATATGCAGTACAGGGAACTAGTTTTTTGTGCGCCCATCAGCCGCTTGACTTACCCGCCAAAGCATCTCTGTTTAACTTTGTTTACAGTGAAGGAAACATCTTGTTTGTTGGTCTCTTGAATACAGAGTATTTTTACATTAAAATTATTGGTCATTCTGAAATTTAGTTAACATATTGATAATATATAGCGCAAAGCAGCATTGATTTAAATAAAATAATCTTTAATTACAACTAGTGAACTTATAATTTTATTAGTGAAATTACTGCATCAAGCATGGGTGAGAAAGATGATTCCCCTCAGTGTTCCTCTCCAAAAAGGAGAGAGGATTTTCATGTTAGAGAATCTGTCAGTCCAGAGGTTCCTGAGATTATTATGGAAGGTGACTTGCCTTCCAAGAAGCATTAAAATGCTTCTATTCTCCCTTCTCCTCCACCCCCACTTCCCTCTCTTCTCCCTTCTCCTCCTCCACCCCCCCACTTCTAATTCCCATCACCATCATCAACCAGCAACATTCTACATACACACCACAAAGTAAGTGTACTGTACTGCATTTTGTTTATACTTTGTCTGTACTTTTCTGTGAGTTGGAACCAATTACCCAATATCCCATTGAAATAGTAGATTCCGTTAACGAATTTTCGGTTAACGAACAACTCTGTGGAACTAATTGTGTTCGTTAACTGAGGACCACTGTAATTTGCATTTTTTTCCCACTCTTTCAAAGCTTCCTTTGCTATAATGTAAATTATAGAAAGTTAGTGTGTCTCTATTTGATTTTAGTTTTGGCCAGCTTGCGACACACTAGAAAAGGGCATTTTCACTCCCCAGGCCCTGATGTGGGTCAGTGACCTGTGCCCTGGTGGGCTAATAATAATTAAAAAAAAAAAAAATTGCTTGATAAAAAATGCAAGGTACTGAGATCAAGAACAAACACAAACACTGTCATCATTCCCTGCTATTCATTCAATCATTCAGATATCTGGGATCTATTAGAAGAGGAAAAACAAATTAATAACTTGGCATTCATGTTCACCGATACTGAGAACAAAATAGAAGAGATTAGAAGATCTGCCACCTTGTGTGGCTCAGAAGCTACTACAGTAAGTGTGGAATGTGCAAGAATTTCTTTAAAATTTATAAATTTGTAAATACTGTACACATAGGTTTTATATTTTAGGAAAATGTATGAAATCAATGTGGAACTCAGGCAGTTTGGCAGTAAGGAGAAAACAGGTTACAGTACAAAGGTAAATTAGTTGGTTCTGACTTTACATGTATGGGAAACCCAAAATGTAAATAATGAATGGCACAGGAGAGTGTTACAGGTACAGTACAGGTACACCACCGATTTTCCGGCACCCTTGGTTCCAAAGCCTTGCCGGATTATCCATTTTGCCGGACCAACGAGGTCAGGTAATAATAATTCAACAATACACCTCTGACCCACAAATTATACACCTCCTGTGTCTCTAAAGCACCATGGACTGCTAGAAACTTAAATTAAACAAATATTAAATATAAATTAAATGTGAAAAAGCCATAATTTTGAGCAAAATTACTGTACACACTTTGTACTCAAATGTACTGTACCTGTACTACACTAGACTAAAAATTTTATCTCTTGTGCAAACTATGTGATGTTTATACTCAAATTAATCACTATATTACAAGGATTCCAGCAATGTAAATTATATTCTGCTAAGTCTAGCCTGTGACATTTTATAAGATAAAAACTTTAAGCCTAAACTGCCTTCACCATGGCTGTGAGGAAGGGGAGGGGGTTGAGATGTTGACAGCTGTCGGGGAGGGGAGATAACAGTGTGTAGTTATCAAAACAGAAGGAGCTTTAGTTTTCCCTTATAAAATGTCACTGAACTGACTTGGCAGTATATAATTTGCAGTGCTGTAATTCTTGTAAGATAGTGATTAATTTGAGTATAAACATCACATAGTTTGCACTAGACATAAAATTTTTAGTAATTAACTTATTACAGGTTTACCCTTAGGACAATTATTTCTTTTAATTTTTTTCACAATATATATTTAGGATAGTGTGTGCATGTAAATGAGTAAAAATAAATGAAGTTACATATATCTTCCCGAAAATATGAGTTAAAAATCTTGTACACAAATGTACTACACTAGACTAAAATTTCTATCTCATGTGCAAACTATGTGATGTTTATACTCAAATTAATCACTATCTTACAAGGATTCCAGCAATGCAACTTATATTCTGCTAAGTCTAGTCAGCTACATTTTATAAGATAAAAGCTTTAAGCCTAAAACTACCTTCACCCAGGCTGGGAGGGAAGTTAAGTGCCCTCTCATAATTTTGTCCAGACTAAGGGAGGTGCCGGACCATCAGTTCCTGGATAATTGGTGGTGTACCTGTACTGTACTATCAACATGACTGTGCTTATAATAATGTTTGCAATTCAATCTGACCTTGATGGGGTTGGCAGGAAGTGGTGCCAAAAATTCAGCAGGATATGGGTAGTCAACCATGGCCAAGTTTGTCCAAACATCTGTCAAATATTCTTTCACCTTCTGGACATCCTTCTGTGTTTTAAGTGGCTGGCAAAGTTTCCAAGCACCAGTAAGCCAATTCATCCCTACCTCTGTAAGGCATAACATCTGACATTAAGTACTTATCTATATTTTTGTGACATTATACAATTCCGATGCTTTACAAAATTAAAGAACAAAAATGAAATACATACTGGAGTTATGTACATCAAATATTATACTGTACAGTAATTGCATAACTTCCCCTTATTTTCTCTGCACTTAGTAAATCTGACATAACTCTTCAACATATACAGTAGTACAATAAAAGAGTTATCTAGCTTTGCCCAGGTTATTAATGAACCAAATCCTGGCTGTGGGCCTATAACCAAAAGATTTCAGCCGTCACCTCCCGTAAAGGAACAGGAGTTAGTATATGGCCATCCCCAAGGTAGGGAGGTGTACGGCCATCCCCAAGGTAGGGAGGTGTACGGCCATCCCCAAGGTAGGGAGGTGTACGGCCATCCCCAAGGTAGGGAGGTGTATGGCCATCCCCAAGGTAGGGAGGTGCACTCCCTACCAAATTTCAGCTCTCTATCATCAAAACTGTAGGTATGCATAAGGAAGATCGGAACACACAGATAATTATCTTATATACAGGTATCCCCTATTTACGATCATCCATTTTACGACAATCTGCATTAATGTTAATTAGGTTTTAACACCCTCTTACTACTTATATGAGGCAAATCCACATTAACAATAGTTATTGTTATGCTAAACTTGCTGACACAGAATGTAAGCACTGGGGAAGCATATCTTTCCCTTCACTAGTCATATCCAAGATGGACTATATGCACAAACTTTTTCCATCCTCCGTGCAGTTCACCTACCTGCACACCGCCTCACTAATCGTTGTGTAACCTTGTGATTGCTGTGATACTTTGCTATTATTGGTAAGAGTAAAACATTATCATTCAGATTTTTCTGTGTTGGTGACTGTGAAGTGATCAATGTAGAGTAACTCTGTAACTTTGAAAATGGCTAGTAAATGTCCTGCTGACTTTCCCACCTCCTGGAAAGGAAAGGCTTTGAGGAAGACGAAATTCAACATTGTTAAGCTGCAGGCTTGTTATTATTAATGTGGTGAGTGTTTAATTTTTTTATTTATATAATTAGTGTAGAATAGGTTCTTCTGTGCTACATGGCTGTCAGACAGGCCAGGAACATATCCCACTGAAACTCATGTTAAAGAGCTCCTGATTTACGTTAATTCATTTCACGTTAGGTTTTTCGGGAAGGCAACCCTTTCGTAAATATGGGGATACCTATACATAGAGGTCTTCATTCAACACATTTTCAATTGAATAACACATCTCTTTTCCTATACATTCGCAAATTATATATCCATCCAATGCTACAATGTTGTTATTTTTAATCATCTTACATAATATGGCGATACAACACTAGATCCAAAGTAAACCTATTACACATAAATCACCAAAACACTGATGATTATCTAAAAGAAAAAGACTTAAGAGGAACAAAGTGACAGTTCAGTTTAGGGTCGGAATTCTGAATGTTGAAATCACGGGGAAGATTGCCGAGGCTGTTGAGACCTTGAGCTATATAAAGGTGCTTTGTATGTACAGTATTAAAAAATGGTTAAACAATTCACTCTGATTATTTTATTTGCACTACCACTAAAAATCAATGGATTGCATTCTGGGACTTCACCATTTGAGTGAGATACTGTGTTCATAACTGCTGGAAGGATAGTTGGACCGATAGACAGATGAAAATATGGATGGATGGGCAGATGGAAGTATGGATGGATGGGCAGATGAAGACTCCTGAACAGAAGGCATGCATTATTTGCTTCTCTCCTAAAACAGAGACAAGAGTACTGCAAGCCTTTGGCTTGAAGATCTAAAGGCTTGATGTGGAGACTAACCTTTGATGCATAGTCAGTCAGACATCACCAAACATAGCAAGGCTTGTACAGTCGGGGTCAAAAGTCTTGAACACTTGACAGTATTTGGCATGTATAATATGTGATGACAAGTAGTGGTATTAGTAGATCCTAATCATATTGTACAGTGGTCCCTCGGTTAACGAGCACAATCCGTTCCAGCAGGTTGCTCGTTAACCGAAAAACTCATTAACCGAAACCATTGTTTCAATGGGTTTTTGGGCAATTGGTTCCAGCTCACCGAAAATTGCCTAAATTCAACAAAAAAGGTAGAAAAGTACACTTACTTTGAGGTGTGTATGTAGAAGGCTCCTGGTTGATGATGATGATGGAAATTAGAATGGGGGTGGAGGAGAAGGGAGAAGAGAAGGCATTGGGGTGGAAGAGAAGTCACCCCATGGTGTCATTTCACCCATAAAATTTTAGTCCTCTTGGTGTAATTCAAGATTATTTTCTTTAAATCAACACTGCACTGCATTACATATTGTCAATATGTAAAATAAATTTCAAAATGACCAATAATTTGCTTGGAAACAGAAAAAAAGCGTTTAGTTGAAGAGAGTCTCAAGCAAGATGTTACCTCCACTGAAAAGAGAGACTAACGCCTGTTTGTGTGTTAACAGGCCGGATGGCACGCCAGAAACTAGTTTCTTTACCTTCAATTACCGTATATACTCGTGTATAGTTCGAGTTTTTAAGACCAAATTTTTAGGCAAAAAATTGGGGGTCGTCCTATACATGCATAATAGTTTTGTTAGGTTGAACCCGTGCATGATGGGAAGGGCAAGGAGCAACTTTTAGCTTCAGACATGAAAAATAATTACCATTTACTGCCAGTAAACAATGGAAATGTAAAATATGTACCAATTAGTAATGAAAAGTTGTGCAGTTCCTTCAGCAAATGAAGTTCACCAACTTACAATAGGCTAAATTGCCTTACAACGTGCTTTCAGCAGCCTATGTTGAAGTTCTTAGCACAGGCTAACTTATCATATCATATACGGTATCACAATTCTCATTGATCTACAAAAAATACCGGTAATAAAAACCTTTTCGATATTTCACACTTAATATAATCCCCGGTAATCTACTTCAACCTCCTATTGTTTACAACGACGCATCACGCACCACCAGCTGTATCAGCTAGACGGTACACGTGTTTTTCGAATCTTTTTCAGTTAAAAAACTGTTACATCACATGTATATTTTACCTTAACTGTGCCTGAATGAATATATTCTAGGAAATAAATAGTAGTTTTGCTGAAACGTGATATATTTTAATGTAAAATAGGATAAAATACATGACGAAAACAAAAGATTTTACCTAACCTTCCGATGTTCAAGAGAAGTTACTCGTTTTCTTAATAGTTTTTTGTTTAAATATTGTTATATTACAATGGTATTCTATTCATACTGTGCTTGATATAATGCATTCACGGAAATGTAATACTTTTGCTGAAATGACATACGTGTTACAGTGGAAAGTGGGATAAAATCGTGACGAAAACAATGACTTTCGCTTTCTTTCGTTCAAAAGTTGTTACCGTAATCGCTTTTCGAATGGTTTAGTTAAAAAACTGTTGTATTACAATAATATTCTATCCTAATTGACTTGAATAAATACAACGATACCATATTTCTGAATATTTTCATTAAAATCCATCAAAATCATTTTCCTTGTCATCGTCTGCAGCACCAAACAGCTTCTCCCAGTCCTCTCCTTGAACAGGGCTAGAGGGTACGTGTTTTTCGAATCGTTTTCAGTTAAAAAACTATTACATCACACGTATATTTTACCTAAACTGCGCCTGAATGAATATATTCTCGGAAATAAATAGTAGTTTTGCTGAAATGTGATGTATTTCAATGTAAAATAGGATAAAATACATGACGAAAACAAAAGACTTTACCTAAGCTTCTGTTCTTGAGATGTTACTCGTTTTTTAATAGTTTTCGGTTAAAATTCTGTTATATTACAATGATATTCTATTCATACTGTGCTTGATATAATACATTCACGGAAATGTAATATTTTTGCTGAAATTACGTACGTATTACAGTGGAAAGTGGGATAAAATCGTGACGAAAACAATGACTTTCGCTTTCTTTCGTTCAAAAGATGTTACCGTAATCGCTTTTCGAATGGTTTAGTTAAAAAACTGTTGTATTACAATAATATTCCCTCCTAATTGACTTGAATAAATACTTGAATGGAAATATACAATATTTTTGTTGAAACTACCCGCGTTTCAGTGTAAAGTGACGTAATAATAAATGGTAAACAATTTGCCTTCGGCACTCGTGTTTCAGGCACGGCGAGCCTCAGTTTATAGAATGTAGAGCGTTTTTAGTGAAGGTTTTGTTGTTCCATTACCCTCAAAAATGTGGGTCGAACTATAAACGAGGAATATCGTAAATTAACGATTTCTTGGTCAAAAAATCAGGGTCGACCTATAAATGAGGGGGGTTATAGACGAGTATATACGGTATGTTCAATAATTGTTAAAATGACTAAAAAAGTTAATATTAAACTTTTAAAATTACTGAATAGTATAAACTTCTTGATATTTACTAAAATAGTAAGGAATTTAAGCCCTAAACCGATTACTGTATTGGCGGACTAATACTACAGCTGGTGGACCACCAAATGCAAGCGAAAACATGTTGAGGTCAGCTCGTAAAAAACTCGTTAATCGAGGGATTGCTCGTTAACCGAAGTTAAGAATCTTATGGAAGGTAAATCGTTAACTGAAATCTCGTTAACCAAGGCGCTCGTTAACCGAGGGATCACTGTATATGTACAACTCAGAAGTAGATGCCAGATATTGCTAAGTGTTCAAGACTTTTGACCCCAACTGTAAATGTACAGTAATTGAAAAAAAGTCAGTCTCTCCCACCTCATTAAAAAGTACTTGCATGTGATACCTCTTGATGTCCATAGTGCTGTGTTGCACAACAGCTGGCTATATGTGGGTTAAGAATTAGAATTGTAAATGGAACATACCCGATTTGTTTTACTGTGACATAAAATGTGCGTAAAAAGAGCCAGTACCCTGTACCTGCTTGTGTTACTTGTCTGCACAAAAGGTAAAATTGTAAGTGGAAGATGCCATTGTTTTTTCTTATATTGGTAGTGCATCACATTTAATGAGCTGTAATAATATTCAACACACTTAAACATCAAGAGATGGGGGGGGGGGGGAAGAGTTGGGTTAAAAATCAGCTCATTAAGGGAATCCAGGGTAAAAAAGTTTAAGAACCATTGCTATACAGTACAGTACAGTATAGAAATTTGAGAAATTATATTATTTAATTATATGCTAGCCTGGCATAAAAATGGGAGTGAAACATTGATATATTGCAGATTAAACACATCAAAATCTCTGTGGCAACAGTTACAAAACAAAGCCAAACAGTACACTGATGCTGGTGCTTAACTATTTACCGAGATTACAAGTTAAACACACAAATTTTTCCTCTTGGCACATCTGTAGAGAATTTTCCTCATTCTCATCAGGTTCCATGAATGCAAATTTTCATAATGTTTTCGCCACTCTTGTAGCCACGACCTCTGACCTGTGACCTCGCCAGAAGTTTGTAAACGTCACAGTCATAAAACAAGAGTTTCGTTGTTATGACCACAGATAGGGGCTCGGGACATCTCTGGCACAGTATCGTACAGCCCCATCAAGTGTACACACACTAGCTATAACCAGGCATTACTTGGAGCGATACCAGGAGTTAAGTGGAACTATAAGCCCGCACATGTGAGTGAAAGAACACAGGGATTGTTTGTATGGCGAAATGTTGTGAACTACATATGTGCATAGTATAAGGCAATTTGGATAATAACCATACAGAATAGTGTATTTACTAACTGACGTATCATGTATACATGTAATGGAATGTAATAATTAGTTAACAAGAGTCTCACTTTTTCAGGTTTTGACCATACCAATCAATAAATGTTGAGTTAGTCCACGTTGCGGGTTTCTCTCACCCTTAAGATGTGTCACCATCTAACTGTCGAACCAATCGGCAGTTAAAAATAACTTAAGCTTCTGTATCTCGAGGGATACTTATACAGTACATCCATTCACACCAGGTTTACGGTTTTAATGTAATATTGTACTGTATTATACACTTGGATTATGGTTAATATACATAAATATACTAGCTAACTTTATGTTTTAATTATCAATAAATAAATGGAGAGTGACAAACCTGCAGAGAACATTTGCCAGTTAAAATAAAATCTTACCATCAGCTGTGACAGCATCAATAGCAGCCCAAGAGTTTCGAATCACCTCAACACATTGACTGGATTCCCTGGCAAAATCTGCTGTTACCACTTGGCCAAACTTTTCACAGGGTGTGATGTCAATGAACTGAAGAATTGGGGCTGAGGCTGCAATGGATCTGTAAGGTAAATGTGCCTGTAAATACACAGATGAAAGGATGGGATGAGTGATGCATTAGAAGTTTGGGTAATGGTCATCCTGGAGGTAGTGCTGATAGATGCATAAACTGAGGCAACTGGGTCAAAAGAGCAAAAGGTGTGGTTGTTCACACAATGTTATTATTTGGGTGTGAAGCCTGGAATCCATATGCAAGAGGAAGGAGCAAATTAATAGGTACAGGTATGATACAACATGTACAGGCCTGCATTGAGGTAGAAGGGGGCAACTTTGAACATTTCCTTTAGGTTGTAACAAAGAGGGGTCATGCTGTAGAGATCTGTGAATAAATTAATAAAAAACCTACGGGGGTTTCACTTCAAATTCACTCTCTTTAATACGACATCTTAAATGTATTGTAACATGGAAACTATGCAGAATCTGACATTTTACCAAAGACATATTGTGGTTTAGAATTATCCAAGGAATTCATCCTCCAATTTACTGTACTCTTTGCTGAATCACCCGAATACAGAAATATGGAGATGTACAAGTAAAAGAAAAGGTGGGCAGGAACCTGTCCTGCATCCAGGGTGTAAAGCCAAAATATTCTTCTAATAACTTGGTAAGAGACAAGTAAAGTCAGCAACTGAGTTGTTGAGGTCTAGAAATATACTAATGGATCATGCTAGAGTAATAACCAAAAGTCCGTGACACCAGACATGACCCAAAAGCAGTGGTTCCCAACAAGTCCGACAACAATACTCATCACCCCGACAGAGGTCTGTCAACAATTTATTTCAATACTATTTTTGGTGTTGTTTTCAGTATGTGAAGCAGATGCGGTGGAACCGTGGGAGACTGAGGCAAAAGGTACCAGCTCTGCCATGTCCAGGACGCGTCTGACACATGAATGACCCGTGGTTGTGAATGGAATAAAAAAACAGGAAAATAAGGCTCTCTCTCATGGGCTGTCATTACCCCCCAAAAAAATTAATTACCCACTTAAAGGTAATTTAACCCTAATTGGGAACCACTGCCATGAGTCTGACAGAGGTGGTCCTATAAAACTCCAGTCAGTTAGAATTTATGAAGACAATTTGTGTTTAAAGACACAAGAGTTCTTAAATACAGAAACCTTATCAAAAAATTTACCTTGCAAGCAAATTTAACACTTGTGAAAGATTCAATCAATGCATATGTCTTCGTACAAACTGTTATCATCAATATAAAGTAAAAGTTTAGTTTATTCATTTCATTATTTTATTATGTTAATGCAATATACCCTAAGTCAATGCCATTTCAAGAGAAAAAATTATACATAATATCTCACTAAATGACCAACATCATAGGTAGTTTTCTCACCCTTGAACGACATGAGGATACTTCATACGGAACCAAGCTGCTAACATTCCCCCATATGATCCTCCAAATGCAATGACTGCACTGTTCTTTGCTCCAGGAAGAGCAATCCTCAAGTATGAGATCAGTTCAGCAAAGTCTGCTAATGCCTGTTCTGATGTAAGGTAGCCAGAATATTTGGGTTCCTGTAAAAACAGTTGTGTTAATCATAGACTTCTGAAATTTATATTAAAACTTTTTTTTTGACTGGGGTCCAGCACTGGATTCATATATCCCCAACCAGGAAAAACACAATCAAAATCCAGTTACAGTATGGGGGGAAGTTTGTGTAGGCAGGGGCTGTGACTGTGGTGGCACAGGAGGGTAGCTCAAGGAAAACACTGTACAGTACATATAATCATTGAAATTAGCAGTGAAAACATAACATCCTCTCCACCTTCTGTGGAATACATTACGAGTATCATACAATCACCTCTTGCCTCACTCGCCCCATCACCTCAAGACTCAACCACTTCATGATTAGTTAAAAATTAATAAGTACAGTACTACCTGCATTTTTTATTATTAACATGTACTAGGTGCTTCTATTTTTTATCAAGAGATATATTATAGTACAGTAATAATGTACTGTATACCATAAGAAACACTCCTATACTTTGTACAGTACGATTCTCTTATCCCTCTACCATTATACCAGGCTGCATCCATGAGCAAAAATATTTACAGCTAGCAAAAAGTGTAAAACCTTAATCCATGGCATCTGTTCTTATGGTGTTAAATATGAGAAAGATGAATTTGATGTCACAATGATCCTGAAAAAATTCTCTACAAGATTGTTCCCCCCAAAAATCCATATACAAAATAGTTCTACATGATATAATGATAGGATCTCAATGATAGCTGGACTGTAAAAAAGAGTTATAGAGGAAATAATGATTTACAAATTGTTGACACTGGATATTTAAGAAAAAGCTGCATCAAATTTTAGTAAAATGTACTTCAAAGAAATTATAATACAGGTATATTTCCACTAATATTTCTCTACTTACAGTGAAAGACTTGTTTCCATAAGGTAAGGAGACTCCATAATATCTGTGTTCAGCGAAGATTATCAGAGCGTTAAACTCTGGAGCGATGTCCCACATAAAACCCTGTAGATGACAAGACCTCAGTACAGTATTGGTAATCAGGTCTCCATATTTTTCTTAACATCTCCAGCAGACACAACAGTTAACTCAGAAGTGGTCTGGACTCCTAAACCAAGAAATAAAATGTTGAGCTCATAGTCAGGTAGAGTGGGATGAGAGCATGTTAAATAAATTATATTATAAAAACTCTAAAGATAATAAAAGGACTAGGGACAAAATAAAAACATTGTATGAAACTCAAACAGTTAGACTACAACTTCCTGTCATTAGTATACACCCCTAAGAGCTAACACCACAATGGCACACATGTTTCTACATCACTGATGAACAAAGCTCTGTATGGTCTTAACATTTTACTAAAGGTGTCCATAAGAGAATTATACAAATTAATGTCCATGTGGTCTATAATATGAATTCAAATATGTGTTCTATAGGCAATGGTTTATGTACTGTATATACTAAGGGGCCATTCAAAAATTATGTAACACAGAGGAGTGGGGGGGGTATCAAGCCAGGTGTTACAGGGGGGTGGGGTGTCAGAAGAAGTGTTAAGTGACAGTAAAAAATAAAATAAAGTCTAAATAATACAGATGTAATCTCTGAAAGTCTCTAAAACTAAAATTGTACTAAGAATTACCAAGAAAATATATGTATTAAGGTCTTTCTGTACCATGTCAAATGCATGCATATTCTATTTTTTTTTTTTTCAAATAAAGGTGAAAGCAAGTACAGGTAATAAAACTTTAATAATGAAAGATATATATATATATATATATATATATATATATATATATATATATATATATATATATATAGTATTTGAATATATATATATATATATATATATATATATATATATATATATATATATATATATATATATATATATATATATATATATATATATATATATATATATATATATATATTTTTTTTTTTTTTTTTTTCGAAAACTCAGTTCCCAGTCTAAATATTCAAATGACCTGGGTGGTTCATGTGTATTGTCCCAGATCCAACAGTTTTCCTGCCACACTGGTTCTCTACTTTGTACAGTCATGATTGAAGTTCCTTTGTTAGCCCTGATCTCAGTTGGTATTTCAAGTCCCTCAGTAACCAAGTCTTCCTCCATGTGCCACTCATAATCTTCTGTTTCCAGGTACTTGACAACACACATGAATTCCCTTTGTCTCTTGGCAGCTAGTTTTTGAGGCCGCAGTCTTTCTGTTGGAGCACTCACAACAGAATGACTACCGTGACTCGAGCAGTGTTTCTTAATATGTTAAGTCATGGACTTGACTGAGACAAAGTATTTGTCACATGTTCCACAGATGCACTTCTGTAGCTCATTCTTCAGACTAGGACATGCCAAATCATATGGTAGGCTTTTAAGAAAGTTTTTAACTGCCCGAGGTAGCACAGATTTGTCCAGTGTGCTAGATTGACAAAGAGCGGTGGATATTTGGCACTCAAAGAATCAAGACAACATAATAAGCCATCTGCTGTCTGTACACGGGGGAGTGGTGATGGCAAAAATCTGTTGGTATAACTGAAAAGTAAGAAGTTCTTGGTGCATTACATAATATTTTAGGGAGGTTTAGCTTGGTGTTACAAGAGGTGGTGGGGTATAAATTTGGGTGGGAAAAAAGCATTAAGTAATTTTTTAATGGCCCCTAATGTCTTAATATGTGTTATATTATCTGTAATACAATACTGTACTGTACTGTACTGTATATGTATTATGTATACATATTCAAATACTATTATGTGAAATTACAATATTTGTACCAATATCTGTGTCGCTTCCAGGAACTAGTTTCCATGAAGGAGCCTGGACAGCATCCTCTTCCCTGTATGAATTATGCTAGCTAATCATGTGTTGCCTTCCTGGTGGTGCCATAAAATTGGTGACATGTTTGGCTTGAATTGTTCAAGGATTGGAAAAATAATAATTTTGTTTATTTACTGTATTAATGTACTGTATGTACAATAGTATTGTAATCTTTCATTATGCATGACAAACATACAATATTTCAGTCCCATCATAAGTTAAATTGGGTTTTGTGGGCTTGCTTAGAAACCTAATCCCTATTTAAGACATTAAGTCTAAGGGAAATTTAGTTCCAAGTTCTATACCAACGACTTACAAATATGACTTTGAAACAACCCATCTGTAACTAGTGAACTTCCTATATTCATATTCTGTTCAGCATATCCTTTAACTATGCTCTGCAGTACTATATCAAGCAAAATAATCACATACTGTACACAGAATTTGAGTTACTTAGTTTCAAGTAAGAAAACATAACTAAATGATTTCCAATTCCATCTCTGAAAAGTTTATCAAAAGGGATGATAATAACTTAAATATTTTATTCATAGATATGAACCACATTACCTCTTTTGTTTCCTCAACAATTATGAACAGGTACTATATTTTCTTTTCAGTTATCAGCATAAGCACTACTGTACTGTATGAGAAACAGCCTCAGTTCTTTCTCTTTAATATTACATAATTAGAAAACATTTGACTGTATTACTTTCTTTGAAACTTATTAGTTATATATAAGAGATCTTTTAAAGTCTATCAACTTACTGTATTTTCTGCAAACCAGGTGATATCTCCTTCATTGCCGGCATAAAAGAATATGGGTCCACCATCTGAGTCCCAGGACTCATCGTTGATCAAATATCGCTGGGAATAACTGTCTGGATCAACAAAACTGAAGTGATCCACCTGCAATTTACACAAAACTATGATCTCACCCAAGGGGATAGCATTAATTTTTACACTGCACTGAAAAAATAGTTCAGTATAGAATATTTACATGGTTTATTTGGGGATAAACTTGTGAAATTATTTCATGAATATGCAGTATTTAAAAACTCTTAAAAAAACAAAAAACAATACAGTATTAAGATTTTATTATGATACGCAACCGAATCATTGATAATACTGAATTAGGAAAGGCTTGACAAGACTGGGTTAATGGCCTGAGTTGGGTTGAATTTTGAGACTCAGAACTGCTGGTGTATATCAGATTAGATTGAGTGTGTAACCATTACACTGGGGAACAAAATTCAACTTTTTGTCAGTTGCATACATTTTGAAACCTGTTTCTGGGTAAATTGAGGTCACTGATTTCAAATATGGCACCGGTTTTTTTCTATCGGGTCTAGTTTTGTTGCGGTGAGTTACCTACCATTTACTACTATATATAGTTAGACTACCATATGCTACTGCTAAAAATCTAAACCAGCACACAGAGAGGAATTACCAAACACGTAGAATTAATTTTTAATTACTTTTATTTACCTTGACAAGCATATTTTGGATTCATCAGTTGCTTTTGTGAACTATGCCAGATTTATTCAGGCACAAACTTGCGTTTAATGGACTGTCTTGAATATCGCCTCTCAGTGCAGTCTCGCTGAATGCTCCAGCAATAGTCCGCCATCATGTGAATGTCCCAGCGACCTTGATAACTGTCTTCTATGACTTTGATATCCTGGTGAAAGCGTTCACCTTGCTCATCACTCACGTCCCCCAAGTTTGCCGGAAACAGTTCAAGATGACTGTTCAGGAAATGCATCTTAATGCTCATGTTGCAACCTAACACATGGAAACTTTCCATCAAAGATTCAACGAGCTTTTTTTAGTCCTCTGATTTCCTGTTTCCAAGAAAGTTCCTTACAACAGAAACGAATGCTCCCCATGCATTTCTCTCAACATCAGTCATGGATTGAGTGAAGGCTTGGTCTTTAATCAGCGTCCTAATTTGAGGGCAGTCGAAAATACCTGCTTTGAGTTTTTCTAGCGTTAAACCAGGGAACACTTCACACAGATACTTAAAACAGTCACTGTCAGTATCGAGCGCCTTGACAAACTGTTTCATAAGGCCCAGCTTGATGTGAAGGGGCGGGAAAACAATTTTTTCACGTTCCACTAGGGGTTCATAAATGATGTTCTTTTCCCCAACATTGAGGCTTTCCCTAACTGGCCATTCCTTCTGAATCCAGTGTCTGTCTTTGGCTCTGCTGTCCCAGAGGCAGATAAAGCAAGGAAATTTTGTATACCCACCTTGCTGTTCTAGCAAAAAATTGACCATTTTTAGATCAACACAGATGATCCATTTGTGTTCTTCATATTTGAGTAGCTCCAAAGCCGTTTTGATGTGTTCATATTTTTCTTTCAATTGTACTGAGTGTCCTATGGGTATTGCGCCAAAGATGTTGCCTATATGTAATAAAACACACTTCAGACTCCGCTTAGAGCTATCTATAAAGAGGCGCCACTCTTTCGGATCATAACCTGGAGCTCCCATCGCGGTGACTAATCCAGAAATAAAATAATTGTTTTAATGAAATAAAATAATAATGCACACACTAATGCACACACAAATCTATATTTGACGCACTGATGTAATTAAGAATTATATTTGATGAATGTAAACTAATATGCTTATTACCTCCCTTTGCTATTTTCAGAATCTGTGACCTGATATGTAAATTGCCGCGTAGCATCAAAACTAGACCTGATCTGCACAAACGAATGCCATTTTCAGAATCTGTGACCTCAAATCTACCAGAATCAAGTGTCAGAACTCATGCAACCGAAAGTGTGTTCCCCAGTGTTATTTTCTCCTGGTGAGACAAACACTGTCACGTGAGCCAGTCATGGGATTAACCATGTACTACTTTATAGGGATTCCCACCAATGACACAGACCCTCATTATTATCCACGAAGAAGAAACTGCAACATTTGAAACAACATACACAATTATATATCCCATTATAAAACAACCTCAACAATATGACAGCTCTACAGTAGACAAGGAAACAAATTATTGTACAATAAGACATGAATTTCGGATATATCACCTCATAAAAAGACAACATGGGCTCATAAAATTATTCTTAACTCAAAATTTACCTTCTGCTTGTAGAAATATGTCTCATATTTATAAGCATAACCAAAGTGAAGTAGCAGAGAAGCCAGGATCACCTGAAGAACTAACCACTTCATGCTCCCAGTATGAACTTCCCGGCACGAATGGTTCAGGTGCTGACAGTTAGTCGTGACGTCACATGTTATTGTAGGTGGTGGAGTCCGGACTCATTGACACTTTTGTCTCCCAACTGAACATATCTATAAATAGTTAAAGCAACGCCTCCCGTTATAGCATATTTAGTTAAGGTAGAGTCTGTATAAGGGTTGAGGTTGTCCTTCCAATCCCATGATCAATGTGGTCTCCTCAAAGATAAAAGACTGACACATCGCAAACGCTGCTCATTGTTCTTTACTTTGTTCGACTAAACTTTATCTTGTTTTGAACTATAATCTCTCTCGTGCAACTTCCCAGTTTAATATGTCACATCCAACAAAGGAACAATGAATGACCTACAGTACATCTGATAAGTGTGTATTGAAATTCACATTGTCTGGCACAAAAAGGATCAAGTCATCTAATATCTACTCATTGTTGAGGAAAGTCACGCGCTAGTTGTGACTGCTCTCACACAATGGACCTTGTTCTTGCTTTTGGAATTCCCGACACACGACAAAGAAATATCTCACAAATTTTTTTCACTACCCTATTATTTGTAATTTTGTACTGAGAAACATTTGTAGCATGGTGTTAGATTGACTATTTTTTTACGCTGTTTCACTTTTCAATCAATAGTGCTGCTTTCTTTTTATACTGTATTGTATCACAAACCAAAGTAGCAATAATGTTTAATTATTTATATCAAGCAATAATATAAATAAATTCATTCAAATGACATGAGACTCAAGCATAATATGGAGGAGATCTTACTAACGCCACACAGTGGTGTTGCATTTTTTCATGACGAGTTTACAATAATGGGAACCTCACTCTGGACAGACACTTAATGGAGTCTTATCTTAATTTAGACAGGTAACAAACACTTAGGTTACTATAAACCAGTGTGATCCAACTTTTCTGGTTTTGTGTACCAAATATTCTTTAACATTGTTTGTTTACCATGACTGTGGGGATGGAGGTGAAGGTTATCTTAACCAAGGAGTTAGACAGAGGGCGACATACTAGATTTACATCTGTGTTCTATTTTGGTTTTAATTGCCTATTAATGAGAGTACTTTACAGTACTGGGGACGAGGATTGTATTTTACCTCTGCTTGTAAATCAACATCAGTGCTAGTGGTCAGAGGGCAAAAGCATGCCATCAAGTGTGTTATTCATCATGCTAACCTGTTATCGTATAGTTATGCTCTGGACCAGATAAACTGGAACATTACATACAATAGGCTTTTCACAAACGCAGAATTTTCTGACAGAAGTAGTTTCATGACAAAATCCTTTCTGAGGCTTGGTGGCAGTACTTAATGTGTGCTGGAACACACTGGAATGGTGTTCCAGCACTTTTATTTTTTCATGAGTAAATTGTAAATATAATCACACATCAAAAATATTGCCAGAATTATCATGTATATAATTTCTTCACAATGTGCCCCTACAGGACATGGCAATTCTAAATGCCTTGCCAGTTCCACAGAGTTTGTCAGTTGCTTTGCAGCACCTGTGTCTGGCTCACTAGATTTCCACCTCTTCTTATTTTACAAATTAGACTCTGTTTGGTGGGGAGCTATGACACTGATGGTCCACACCTGGTGTAATGCCATGACTGTCAACATTGTATACACAACTTCAAATAGCTGGATTACGCATATTGACCTCACTCTTTGGCTTAGCACTGCTCAGGACCACGCTCCCTCAACTGACATACAGTAGTACTGCCTAAGGATGAAAGGCTGTGGTGGAGACAATTATTTCTCCTTATAGCCTAGGCCTAAAGCCTCTCCTAGTTAGTTCTCCTATAAACAATTTAGTCATAAAATCTTTGTCATTTAGAGAGGATGGTACAGTTAAATGAGATTAGCAAACAGATATTTTGTTTAGTATTTAATGACAACTTTCCTTAAAAAAATATTGAGGTTAGCATATCACTCAACTCCCACTAGGAAGTGATTACAGGACATTACATTGTTTTGTTTTTTATTCTGTGTAACTGTTTCTCTAAGGTACAACATAAAAATTTAAATACAATTGTAATTATAAAGTCTTTTCTTAAGATCCACACATTATGAAAATATTATTGATAAACAGTTCAAAAACTTTTCCCAAGTAATCATAAAAATTATGTGAGGTCCTTACTAGAAGATAAAAAGTTTCAGGGTACAGGGTACAATATTTCAGTACAGTATTTCACCTTCTATTATGCAATGCCGCCATCAAATTCATTACCCATTATTTTTGCTGCTATTTAATAATTTATCTTTAAGATGAACAGTGTTACACTACTTTCCACCCAATTAATCTAAAACCAGCAACAATGCATTTTGTTTAGATAATTTTACATGGGAGAAAGTAAAGTGAGGTGTTAGAAAACAAAACAAAAATAGCAAATATATGTATGCTGTAAACAAAAATAGGCAAGTAATAGTGATAATATAAATAAATTTTCCTTACAGGATCAAATTACTCAGCCACACTGAAAGGAAACCTTTCAATGCCAGTTGTTTTTAAGGAGGGGAGGGGGCATTTTTTAAGGGATTGTCTTTAAGTCTGAACACAAATTATTTTCCCAAAAAGTTTCCAGTTTCATGATACTGTAGATTCTTTGATGGATGTATGCTGAGGGGTTATTAGACAAAAGGTGGGGCAGCTCCGCCAAGATGGGTAACATATGATAAGAAACAATGCAGCTAAAAATGAAGTATCGAAGCACATACATACACACTTCTCTAAAACATTACAAGTAAAACTTAAAAGCCTGCATGCTACACTTTTCTGAGCTTACCCCGGTCATATCTAATACTGTAAACCTATCCTTTCTAAAACTGTGTCCAAGGTCAAGTCTTTGGATTTTCTGGCATTCAATAGCCAAGATAATTTAAGCCATACAGACAGACTTACTTTCCCAAGTACTGTACAGTACACTTGATATGTATCTCAGTAAAAACTTTACTTATCTTCCTAAAAATGTAAATACAGTATATAGTGCAGGCATCCCTCAATTTATTTAGGTTTTATTTATGAAAATTCAAAATTATGTAGTACTCTAAAAATTCAAGAAAAAATTCTGATTTTCAAGTACTTCTGTATCAAAAATAAATTCTTTTGGGAAGATGGCAGTGAGAATAACTCCAAATTGTTTGAAGACAACAATTGTACAGTACATATATGGAATCATATATTAAAATTAGTCTGAAATATCAAATTGTAAATATCGAATTAGTAAGGGTTCAGTGTACATGTACACTCGCTACAGAAAGTATCTGAAAGGTGTGGTCCGATTATTTTGAAAATGAACACTGCAATTACAGTACTGTTGTCTCAGTAGGGCTGTCTAACTCCTTTGCCTGTTGTGTCTTCTTGTTTATCAAAAAAATTTTTACTTGTTGTAGCGAGTGTACATGTACAGTAGCCTGCACTTGTGCCTGGTACTTTGGCTGGTGTGTTTTGTGAGATGTGGCAACTGTGTTTACATTATATTAAAACTCTTGGAATGGCCCTAAGGGATGTCGCAATAGAAGCCAGACTAAGAATGCTAGATAAGCATTCCGCAGACTTGTCACATCTCGCAAAGTGTGCCAGCCACTGTACTGTGTATAAGTGCAAGAGACTGTACAATATAAAAAGTTAAATGAATATGTTTACTGTAGATTTCAATATTCAGCTAAATTCATACCAAAAATCCAATCCAGTAAAAGCAAAAGGGGTGTATCATAATGCATGTAAAGGAACATTACTTGGCATCTCACTGCAGAATGAAAAACTGTAGCTAGACCTCATACTGTGCACCACAGACATTGGCATAGTCTCAATAACTACCAAGCTAATCAGTAACATTTACATTAGAATGTTAACATACAAAATTAGTTCATAGGTTAAACCACTCATTCTTGCAGGAACTCCTTTTAATTTTCGGTAAATAAACTTATGTACCCTTATTATAATTAAGTTATATAAATTGTTTCCCATTATATATATACAGGTATATATATATATATATATATATATATATATATATATATATATATATATATATATATATATATATATATATATATATATATATATATATATATATATATATATATATATATATATATATTTTATGCATAAAAAATATCTTTAGATGTCATTAATGTACTACAGAAGCAAGTTTTGGGGTAGATATTCCTATAGGAACATATCTCCAATTTTATAATGGAAGTCAATGGGAATATCACAAACAATTTGTGAAATATTGATGTCCAAATGGTTTTCAGGAACAGAACCTTTTCACAAATCAAGGGAGACCTGTAGCAGAACAAACACCTATAAAAAATTTCAGCTTTATATCTATGTACAGCTCTATAAATCATTCTTTTTTTCTTTAAATCTGTTTTTCAACATTTGCCAATGAGTATATCACTGATGTCTATCAAAGGAGGATGTTGATATAAATATAAAATCTAATATATTAATGGTGGACAAAACAGACCCACGTTACTTTTAAGTTAACACACAAGCAAAAATAGTGACTAGATTTAACAATATATTTTACAATAGATACAGTACAATACTGTACATGATGATACAAAGAAGTAAACAAACTTTATTATAACAGAACATTACAATAGTACAATGTTAGCACCAAAAACAAACTTTGTTACTTCATAACAATGAGGAAAAACTCACCTACTACATTAAGTGCTGTCAATGAATACTGCTGCAGTACAATGGCAATAGTAATTGAAAGATAATGTTGATGATCTATAAATTATTGTTTAGTTACTGCTAGTATATATTATCCATAATAAAATTTAGAAACAAGGAATGCCATTTAGAATCTGTCAATTCACAATGAGAGACTACCTCTTCCTCAAGAAAAAGTCCTTAATAATAAATACAGCATCACCTTAAACTTGCAAAACTCAAGAGAATTTTATATACTGTACTGTACAGTATATATAGAAATTGATTTTATCATGAAAACGTTTTCTTCTCAAGTAATGTGGTGAAAGTCATCCTTTAATGGTTTTTACCAGTATTTGAGTTACAACAGTCCATAGTAAAAAAGAACTCCTTTCTCATAGAGCAAGACATGAGGCAAATTTTTTTTATAAAGCTCTTTATCAAGTAACACTATATTTCATCAAGTACTTCGTGAAGGTTCAGCTTCAACCATTTATCTTATGGTTTAACTTGCATGCATCAGTCACATGTCCATATCCTACCACACTTAACCACACAATTTTTATATCCTGTGGTGTAATATACAACAGTTAAGTGATTTTCCATGTAATAATAAGAGAAACTAGATGATGGCCAACACAGAAGGAAGCTTCCTGGATATTTTAATCCTCAGTGTGGGAAGCTCAACAAGTCTGAATACACAAATAACAGTCCTACAATTCTGGTATTCATATCTGAGTTATTCCTGAACACTCCTCCTATATCTTAAAAGCATGTAAAGATTTTGGACAAAATTCCACATAACTTAACATTTCACAGGCTGCAGAGCAGACTACAGATAATAAATCTAAGTCACTCTCATCCTCACCATCTTTGACAAATCAATGTTCTTTCCTCTCTCAAGAATTGTTGGGTCACCTGCTTCTACAGCTTCTCTTTGTTTCTGTATCTGGTACAATTGGATAGACTTCTCCCTGATGGATCCCTCAATGGATGGCACGGGCAGCTCAGTAATAGTTGCTCCACTCTCTTTTGCAGCTGCTTTCACTTTCTCCCGTTCCACTTCAATTTCTTGATATTTTTTAAGCAAGCCAACAGCCCACTGATTATGGAAGTACAGTAAGAGAATTAATGCAAAATAATATAAAAACTAAATCTGTGAAGAAAAAAACACATCTCATAATAAAACACTAATGTATCAAGAAGTTTTTGGTGTCAATTTATTTCAGGAAGTAGATTACATGTATGAACAATTTCAGTGGAATTTTGGTATGATGCTTCATAACTGTATATACCGGTAATCCTCTCCAAATTTCAAATGGAAAGGTCCACACACACAAAACAAATTAACAATGGCTAATTACAATACAGCAATGGCTGTGTTGTATGAAGGGTTATTTGCATAAATATTATAAGGTAAAAAAATCATAATCTGTATTAAATGAAGCTAAACAAGAGTATTTTTTTAGTTTGAGGTAAAAATTATCAAGGTTACAAAATGAAGAGGTAATAAAAAGGATCATATAACATGGAGGGTGCTGGAGTGAGGAGATGAAGTTGTCTTACATACAAGCTATATGAGTGCATGAAAAGAATGAAGTGTACAAAAAAAATCACTCCTTGGTTCAGTGATGATAGGGTTCAACCTGATAACTTTTTGGGCTGAATTTTCACGAATTCCCAAATTTTTCGAGCTTGGATGCCAAAACTGAGTGGCCATGTATAAAACAAAATACTCATCTGAGGGTAGGGAAGTTTAGGAGACTGCTGATATTTTGGGCTTTGAGCAAAGGAAACATCACTCTTCCTTATAAGAGTGTAGCCAACATTGGATTCAAATTCATTCTGTGGCTTTTTTTTGGGGGGGAGGGGGGGTTAATGTAAGAAATATTTTTTTGGAGCAAGCATCAATAGGTAACTTTAACTGGTCTTTTACATATGCATTTGTGCACTACTGTACAGACCAGTGCACGAATCAGAAAAAAGTGTAGGATTATGAGGCCATACTCTACACGTTTACCAGCCTTGATCACAGGAAGACATTAATAAATGATCACTTTACACTGTTGCACTGTACAATCACACAAAACATTTCAGGATAAAACCTCACGTAAAAATAAGGGTTTATTATTGTATCACATTTGAGGTATGGCATAAGCTCGCCAGTAGGGTTTTTCGTTATCAGTATGTCAATGTCAACCCTCTCTAAGTCCATGAATCAGCTTGCAATCTAACCTGCAGGTCTTCTCGCCATAGCTCCTGCTGATCTGGACGAATGTGGACAGCCCGAGAAAAGGTTTTGACAGCCTGAGCCACTTCTCCCAGTCCCAGCTGTGCACGTCCTAGAGTCTGCAATCCCACCCACCAGTTTGGAGACAGCTTCACTGCTTCCTCTGCTGATCTTAGGGCTGGAAAGACTTCGCCTACCTGCAGAAAATCCATTACATATATACAGGGTGTTCCGTAAATACCTTTCATAAATCAGGGGGTGTATTCCTGTAACATAACTAAAGATAAATGACTAAATGACCAAATAGTTAAATCTAAATAGTTTTGGAGTTACAACACATGACAGGTTTGGTAGGAATGCAATAAAACCTATATTAAACATTGACTGTTGCTAGTGATGCTCATTAACAATAATAATGCCCCATTACTCAATTCAGACTTCAGCCCGTCGCGACGCACAAGTGACTGTCGCACACATTCAGCGACCCCAGGGGTGTTGCAAATGTTTCTCACACTGCCCTGTACACGGCATCACAGTTCCTCACGGTTTGGGACCTCTGTAACATACACCTTGCTTTTTATGTGACCCCACAGGTAGAAATTAAGGGGATTTATGTCAGGTGACCGAGGTTGCCATGAAACAGAGCAGCTGCACCCTATCCACCTTCCAAACCTGTCATGTGTTGTAACTCCAAAACTATTTAGATTTAACTATTTGGTCATTTATCTTTATTTATGTCTCAGGAATACACCCCCTGATTTATGAAAGGTATTTATGGAGCAGCCTGTATATGTTTGTCTGGTGGTAAGACTTAGGGTATTGAAATATATAATGAAGGAATGAGGAGATCATGTGTACAGTATGTACATATAGTAGCCTCAGGTTATTTTGCAGGATAGGGACCAAGAACATTCACGAAATTCCACTACAGCACACTACACTGAACTTTGCTGTTCGAGCACCACAAGCAAGCTGTCACAAAATTACCTGCATATATGCCTGTGACAGCATTTCATGAATGGTGTGGTCATTTGGTGTCAAGGCAAGAGCAGCATTCCACCTGCCAATGGCTGCCCACCATCGTTCTGCCTCAGCAAGTGTTACTCCCTCATTGCTGAGTCTACGAGCCTTTGCTTCTACATCTTCTAGCTGCAACACCTGAAAGATAATTAAACTAAATGGTTGCTAATGATCACTTTTGACTTTTCTGGTCTAGTACTTACTGCAAGAACACTTTGTAACCTCATTTTCGAAAATACATTAATATAAAGATTTCAAAAGTCAGTGGCCACTGTATACAGTATTTTTTTTTTTTTTTTTGGAATATACCTGTACAGTATACTGTACAATAAAATCCTAAATTTACATAGAACCACTTTACCAAACACAGCTGTTATACAGAATGAAAGTGACTAGCTGCTAAAATTTTAATTTGGCACCCTGCACTGTAATTAAAAAATTGGCCGCTGTGCAAATTTTTTTTTTTTTTTTTTTACTGTGAGGTGAATACTGTGTAGTAATAAGGATTATTTACAGTAATTATAATTTTGCTTACGCATTCTTCAATATTCTAGACTTTGGTAATTTTTTTTTTAATCTACTGTACTATTGTAGCACTGCAGATACAAACCCTGAGTAGATTTTGGCAATGACATGCTCTCACACCCACTAATACCACTTTCTCCTGCCTCTTGCATTTAAGATATCTTCACAGGAATTATAATTTTACTTCAACATTCTTCAATAATTTAGGGGTTAATAATATTTTGTTTCGTCTACTGTCGTAAATTACGTAAATGAATGTTTTATTCACTAACACTTCTCACCACATACAGTTGTTGCTGGCTTACCGGTAGTTGTTTATGGCTTTAGAATAATTTGTAGAGTAGCCATAATTCTGCTTGGGTATTTTCTAACATTGTGGCAAAAAACTTAGCAGTAATTATTGTGAACACAGAAGTTTGTTGGTTATAGAGCCAGGTCAGCTGGCTGTACAGTAACTTTTTATTGTTTTTATGCATAATGTATACAAACATTTTACACTGAACCCTCAATAATTCAATATTTTTTGTACTATATAGTTGTCCTCAGACAATTTTGTGTTATTCTCGTAGCCACGTGGCTGCACTACGGCACTTCAGCTACCCAGAGAGATTAGAATGCCTGCAACTGCCTAGCATACAGTATACTACAGATGGGCAAGGGGTGACCTAATTGAAGTGTATAAACATCTCAGAGGGCACTACTCAGTCGAGTGTGCAAACCTGGAGCTGGTGGACGCCTGCCCCACAAGGGGTTGAAGAAGCCACAGGTCCAGAAAACTGTGAGGGCAAACTTTTTCGGAGTGAGGATTGTGAACTCTTGGAACCATCTGCCAGAGTGTTATGAGCTCTTTCAAGACCAGACTTGACCAACATTGGAGCAGGTTCAGATACATTCAGGAGCCAGTACATGCCCAGTACTTGTCAACAGTGTGTAATAGAGATCGCCCAAGCGGCTAATGAGCAGATCAGTGGCGAAGAGGATAAAAGTAAAAGTATGCCTCCCAAAAAAGAAAGTTTTTTGAAGAGAAATACCTAAAATGTATAAAAATAATATGAAATATATACCAATTATATGAAATACAGTAGTGTATAAGATACAATTGAAAAGCATGTACATAATCTCCATCTGCCAGATGTTTGTCAACTGACTACCCATCACTTAGCATCAGCTTGCTGCATGTCTATCTACACCTAATTTTACCAGTCTTATTATATCAACACAAAATGCATCTTGTAGTTATAAAAATGCATAAAATAATTACAGTACAGTACAGGTACACAAGTTGTGATAATGAATAATTTTTTGAGAAGCGTGTCATTTTCTCCTTCTCACAGCCAATTGTCAACTGTTGTTGATGCTCACATTGTTTAATAATGTCTAATTTCAATACTAAAATTACACTCATTCGCTGTTTCTTGATAAAAGGTGTGCTTGGTGAAGCACTACCAGGTCTTTCTTTAAATAATTAAGCATGATTTTGGATGGTACCTAAAGAAATAATTTCTATCATGACTTTAAATATGAAAAACATTATTATTATTATTATTCTTTAAAAACCTTCAATATTTCACTAAACACAACCATAATGGTATTGGTGAATGTTGCCATCTATGGTGTTTCTGATGCCTATCCCCCCATTGAATAACAAAGGATACCTGTGTACTGTTTACATTATTAACTATACAGTACAGTACTCTATTACTGCACTGGACCTGAAATGTGTTTTTTGTACTGTATCATTATATTTATTTATTTTACAATTGGTAAACTTTAACTGTATTTTCTGACTTTTTTGAGAGAGAGAGAGAGAGAGATATAAATTCAATATTTTGGGATAATTTGATATTTCATGCTAATTCAGGTGACCCAGAACCCCAATGCTATCAAGCTTGTGAGGGTTCAGTGTATCATAATTACACAATTGTATTTATATTTGTTAAAGAAGGAAAAACACAACTGTACATGTTTATTTTACACAGTTATTCATATTTTTGTAAATTTCACTACAGTATAATTCTAAGGGTACACTATCCAATACCAGTTTTACAAATCCTTTTATACAGTATAAGTTCAGACCTAAGCTACAGTACTTCATAAACCATGATTTTATTTTAACTCACACAAATGCAATCAACAGTTTCATGTATACATTTAAAGTAATATTAACTAATGCTCATGACATACTGGGTTACTTAATCAAACTTCCGTTACAAGTCTTTCCAAAATAAGTTATCGTTAATATAAATCTAAAACTGCAGACAAGAGCACTGAATGCTACCCAACTCTCCAATGCCTTCTCATCAAACTGGACATCATGTTTTGCATGTGAGTAAAATTAAGCATATAACATCAACAAGTTACACATATGTGAGAGAATATCAGTGACTGTATTTACTTGCACATTAGTAATAAAAGCACGCAAAGCACTTAGACAGATCAATAAAAAAAAGAGTCTGTCTTTAGTGTTATTATACTCACACTGATGCCATTCATCCGAACATGAAAGGTCAAAATAAATCTTAAAATTTAATAATATTAATCACACAGTTTTCAACAAATACACCATTCTCCATGAAAGGGTATTTGTACTAGATAAAATAAGGAAAAAAATCCTCAACAGCTACTGTTACATTACTCTACAATATTTATTAGTTTTTCTCTGAAAAGCTCCAACAAAATAATGGCATCTCGTCTTGCAGCCTTCTCTAGACTGGCAAATTGCTGACAAGAGTGTTTCTTACCTTTAATTCGTGGGTTAGACCACAAGCTGGGCTCCCCATTTTAAAACATTTACAGGTTTTGTTGCTGTGTGATGCTTACAAAGTGATCATTGCGTGCTTGTGCTCTACTACAGTATCTGAATGGCCATAATAAATGGGGAAAAATTTGTTAGCTGCTTTTCAGTATAGAACAAACACAATTACATACCACCATTAAGTTAGTCACTAACCTCACTTGATATACTGTATTTGCAGTTAATAACCTGTCACAACTTCATCTGTATTATATTTAACGGTAAAAAGCCACTAATGAAACAAATAACTCTTAACAACAACATTTTGCAGTTAATCTGCTATAATCTTACAAGACAACAATATCCTCTTTTATATTCTTAGGAACCTGTAGTGTGAAGCATCATTGTTTTACCATACTTTCAACAAATACTAAAACATCTTTGATCCCTCCTTGCCTCTTAACACCTTCCCTTCCTTTACAGTCGCCATTTTTTTTTATGGAAGATTTAAGGAAATGGAATGAGCCATAATCACAATGTGGCCCCTACGATCACCATATCTGAATCAATGCAAAGCAACACATAATACAGAGACTAACATAGGCTTGACTAATTTCCCCAGTTTCTCTGTAAATTGTTTCTTTTACAGACATTTCAGCTAATGACTATTTCCACACCATATGTAGGTAGTAGGTAGCAGGCAGCTACCAAACAGGGAGGTACTACTGCCTGGGAAGATATTGGAAGCATAATGTGTTGTCTAATGGTAGACCCTGCTGCCATATGGCATCACGAATATTGTGACCAAGTCCCAGGTTGCTGATCTGACTTTCTGCCTCATTTACACACAATTGCAGGGTCTCAATTGTTTCTCTTACTATTGACAACACAACATACTATACTTATAGCATTTCTCACTATTGATTTTTTTATTATAATTTTTACAGTGTTGTTACTGTTATTGTTATTATTATTTTATTTTATTTTTTATTATAAATTTTATTTACTATGAATTACTGTATTATTATTATTATTATTATTAAATTTTCGCCCCCAGGCCCCGATGTGGGTCAGTGACCTGTGCCCGGGTGGGCTAATCTCCTTTAAAAAAAAAAAAAAAAAATTGTAACAATCAATAATGGCATCAATAAAACAAAGCCATGATCCTAAACTCAGCTGAGTATTCAGTACTGGTAATGCCATGATTCTGGACGTTGAGATTCACATGTACTGTACAATACAGCGCTACTAAAGGGTAACACACACTTTGTTTTCCTTAGTAAATTTCATTAGGAAATATAATGACTAGTTTTTTAAAGGTAGGTCCAGATTTACAAATAGGTTATGTTCATAGTAACCCATTTGTAAAGCAGCACATTTTCCCATTGAATAGGACCACCAAAAGCTGCCTAGGGCCCCAGGGAAAGACAAATTTATGGGCCCCCTTTACAGATATATTTAATATTTATATCACCTGGCTTCCCGCCCTCTTGGCGGCCCTGCATAAAGGTCTTCATCACCTGTACTACATCTGGGCCTTTCGATCAGCTATGGGCCCTGGGGCAATGCCCCGCCTGCCCCATCCTCTCGTTGGTTCTGCCATTAACTACCATTACAGAATGGAATGGGCGACAAGTTTCTACAAAACAAGGTCCTTACCTAAAACATAATATGACACTGGACATGTTTTTAATACTTTTTTGTGGAAATTACACTAATGAGTGTAACCAAATAATAATAATAAAAATAGTGTATTACAGTACATGCAGTACAGTACTGTACAGTAAACTGGGGAGGGCAACATTGCTTAACTGTCTGGATCACAATAATTTTCATCAACATAGGAGCCATCCTTTTCTGTCAATACCATCTTGTTTTGGCCCTATCATCCATTCATTAGCTCACCATTTGTTTCATACACTACTTGTTGATTATAATGTGCAAGAAGTGATAAAGATTTGATATCAGAACTTTGATATTTTCTTGAGCAAGGTCATCGTGATTAGGCACAGTTGTAAAGAACTCAGTAATGAGTCTTAGTCTCCATAAAAATGACTTACTGTAATGTACTTCTATACTGTACAGTAGGGTCAGGATATATCGCGAGATAGGGTCCAAGGATGTTTGCTATACAGTATACTAAATTGCGATATATAAATACATGAAATCAATGGGGAAAATAGGGTTAGGTTCTGGAGGTTAATAAAAGTGACTAAACTTGACAAAAAATGACTCAGTCTAAGGTAAGCAGAATATAAGTTGCATTGCTGTTATCCTTGCAAGACAGTAAATAATTTGAATATAGACATCATATAGTTTGCACAAGAGAAAAAATTTCCAACTCTTATTTTTTGGGCCATTTAGGGGATTTTTAGGAATGTTTCTTACTTTATACGGTTTTTGGATTTATGTGAGGTCCCATGAACATAACCCCAAGTAAGTTGTGAGTCTACTGTAAATAAATTTATCGCTACATGTATAGTTTGGAAAGTTTCGAGAATTTTGGTAGTCATTGATAAATTTGAAATATTTCCGCGATATAAAAAACTCGTTATATAAAGTCGCTATATATCCCGACCCTACTGTACTGGTATGATGTGTTACTTACAGTAAAATAACAATGAATAACAAGAGAATTACTAATTGTAACTGTGCCAATGGTTCTCTCATTACACTATTTTATTAGATTGATGCTGTAATGTAAATTTTTATCTTTATTTGTATGTGCTTTCTTAAATACTGTACACTACATAAGATTCTCATGCTACACACATCAAGTGTCTGTAGACTATAATATTAAGTGAAGAGGTTCAGTACAAGATGTCCCAGTTGCCTGTGTCAGAACCTTACCATCTTCTGATACTTCAAAAAAAATATAATAAAATAAAAAATAAATAAATAAATAAATAAATAAATAAATCCGTTTTTTTGCTTGTACAATACTACTGTATATACCCGACAAAAATAAAAAAACTGTGACTTTGAAAATTCGTCAAAAGGGGCAATATAAATTGGGCTCTGACTGTATGTAATACAGTATACCGTTACATTATATTATTTCTGTGTATTTTATAAACCATTAATTACTGTTATTACACACAAACACACAGAGTTTAAAAGACGTATACAAAACAGGACCTTTCATCTCAATGAAAACAATCACTCCAGGGTGCTTTGTAACAAAGTCATTCGTGTAATACGAAATGCTAAAAAAGTCTTACTATCCAACCAAGCTGTAACACCTGAAGCAGACCGATATCAATTAGTGGTAAGGTAAGCTTAGGAAACCAAGTGGTTTAAACAGTAAGATGCACCCCCTCCCATTCTTCAGCCATCTCACCAATGATGACGTTGTCCAACATGCTAATGATCAATTTCCCACCATATGACAGATGCTCTCCCAGCTTGAGTGGCAAGGCAGCCCATGTGATTTACATGTGTCATGTGTGTTTTAATAAGTGAGTGTAAGTAAAAACAACTTGTGTCAGAAAGTAATTAAACATATAAAATAGAAGTACTGTATTTTTTTTTATTAATTACAGTGTACTGAACATACATCTACCAATATACAGTATACTTGATGGTACAGGTTATATGATTTAATTGTTAAATATTATGGCTTATGTTTTCATACTCAGAGTCATATACATAATCTAATGAACATAAACAAACATAACTAGAGGCTCAATTGGACTAGTTTCACCAAGGCCCATCAGGCTCTTAATTTGGCCCTGCTTACAATATTAAAATAACAAACAAACAATTACTGTAACTGACAAATGATTATGTGTTCTAGCCCACCTTTAAGCAAAGTCTCTCGGAAATTAATACTTATGTGATGTTAATCCTTGTAACCAGCTATGGTTCAATAAGCAGTGGTCTGAATCCTTTTCAAGGTCCCACTCCAAAAATAATCACAATGCTAGTTTCATACTGATTTCATTAAAACCTTACCTTCGGTCGCTTTGTTGCTGTCAACCAGTCAATGTCAGGATCCTTAGTTTCATCTTTAACTTCAGCATTTTCTCCAGAGAAGGCAGAGGGTCGAGGTTTAGATAACCCAGCCTTCTTCCTTTTCCATCCAAATGCCTGCATCTGAAATTATACAAACTCACAAGATTTGTGGTTAAGCATATTCAAGATTACTGTCAACTTGAAGTTCCCAAAGTTGCTGCTCTATTTATCATGTACTGTTGTAGTCCACACAATCACTTCTGCACTATGTATTTTCACTGTCTGGACATGTGGCAGTAAAACTCAGTGAATTTCTCAATTATTTGTATGATACAGTACTGTATTTTCACTAATTCTACCCTGATAATGATATCATAAAATAAACTTAACTAGCCTACCAGTCTACAGTAAGTTCGGACTAACCCACAATGGGCTGAATATACCAGGGTCCGAACTTACCTAGCCCAACTTAAGTAAGTTCAGACCATATACAGTACTCCCTGTACTGTATTAAAAGGTGATTATTTATGACATTATCATACATGTAAAAAAGAATTAGTTTAAGAGATTATGAACAGAAAGGAACCAAATATAACCTAACTAAACCTAACTTAAATAAACCTAACTTAGATAAATATTTGTCCACTAACTATCCTCAGGTTTTGGTACAAGAATAGGTTTATTTGGTGTTTCTCAGTGTGTTTTACTCAAATCTGACCTTCATTTCTTGTGCAAATTAGCGGGGTTTTTTACTGATAAGTGGCGATATGAAAAAAATAAATAAAAAATATTGGATTTTCATAAGTAACAGGTGGCAATTTAAAAGAATACTACCTTTACTTTTGGCAAAGATTAATACTTATGGAGATATGAGAGCACAAAGTATGCTGGGCTTTGAAGGTTAGGTTAGCTTGGATTAGTTTGGATATCTAACTACAGGGATGACCGAAACTATAATTTTACCTCTGAATCTTAAAACACATTCTCTTCAAATTTTATCTTCTAAAAAAAATCCTTTCTTTGAAGAGAACTGTTAACAGTGTTATGGAAATCCACCTGAGAAATGGAGGGGCCTTGGTGGCTTTTATTTTTATGGTGATATATTCTACCGGTAACGGGTACAGTTAGCAGGAGTGGAGAATTATTCATTCACGAATTTACACTACACAATGATGCGTATCACAAACTTTCCTTGAATGCTTTATGATTTTAGTGACCCAAACCAAAATGTCACCTCCACATCAACACGTAAATACTCCTTTGTGCATTCTGTACACAAATTTTCAGTCAAAACTCAAAACGAAAATGTAATTTGCGAATAATTTACATAACTCATACCTAAGATTCCTCTGTGGTGACTGTGGCTACCCGCAGATCTATATAAAACTCTGCTCTGCCACCTTCGTCTCTCAGTGCTAGCTCATGCTCTTGGCTCTACTGAGGTAAATAAACCACCGTACAGTATTGCTACGGGTCTCTACACGTCGAGCCTTTTTATATTATTGTTGATACTATTTATTTCGGCGTCATTTTTCTAATTTGTCCTTCTTTTAACTATTACCTTTACATTTACAATATAACTTTATATTTAATGCTTGGTTATGCATTATGTGTGGGCACAATGTGTAATTGATACCAGTTAGTAGTGCTGGGAGTTTCTGACAATATAATGTTATTATTGCCATTTGCCATCAACAACTAAGGTCTTTACCGAGTAACAAGTTTGGTAAAAAAAAATGCTAGTGTAATTATTATAAAAGTCCATCAACAAAAAAAATGATAAGATCATGGGGGGGATTTTTAGCGATACAGCACTTGCCTCTTACAATTGCATCCCGAGTTTCAGTCCTCTTTTTACTTTACTTTATCCTCTTTGCCAATGATCGGCTTATTAGCCACTGTAACATACTGTATTGTGGGGTTCAGGATGTTTGGTTCACACTCAGGATGGAATGGAGAAAGGAAACTCACAATGTGCTCTCTATATACATGTTGTATTGGATGTACATTGCAGCTTGGTGCTGGGAAGGCAGCATGGTTACAAGCGTGATGAAGAGAGAGCTGGTTGGTGAGGGTGCTCAGAGGAGGATCAGCTTGAGGGTCGCCATGCTCTCCGGCGGGAGCGAGGACCGCCAGGCAGGCGGAGGAGGAGGAGGTGGTGTTGCTTGCTGGTTGGTGTAGGTAGAAAGAGGCAGGTCACCACGAGGTCAGGTCTTAAATAGCGGGGGTAGGCGTGGCTTAGTAGTTGACCCCCGCTCCGTGATGTATGGCGGCGCTGGTTGACCTAGACCACGAGGCACACACTGTGGAATTCGTGGGGTCGGCTTCGCAGCGACAAACAGCGTTTGTAGGGGAGAAATCCACTACAATACTCCCCCTTCCCTCCAGGCGGTGTAGGAGACTTGTTGTCTGCAGGGTTGCATAGCACATGTGAGGCAGAACGGGCGGTGCATGCCTCACGTGAGACAAGGGCGATGGCGTAGATGAGCCGGTCCCTGGAGACAACTGTCTAGATACACAATATCTGTGGGAGTAGAGAGGGAGAAAAAGGGTGTGTGGAGGCGATAAATGTTGTGCTTCCCTCACGGCAGGTACAGAGTCGTCAGATGCGCCTGCTGGGGTGTGTGGGCCTGGGTCAGGAGCAGGGGCTGCGTCAGCAGAAGTGGATGAGGGCTCGTGACAGCAGCTGGGTCCACGACAGCAGCAGGGTGCAGGACAGTAGCAGGGGGTACCTGAGGGAGAAAAGAGGGGTGTGTGGGTCCACGTCAGGAGCAGGGGCCGTGTCAGTAGGAGCGGCAGGGGGTACTGCTGAGCCGGGGGCGGCGTCTGAGGCAGGACGGGTGTGTTGGGGTCGGTAGGACGTGGTGCTTGGGGCGGTAGAGGAGCGGCTGTCTGCTTAGAGTAGCAGAGCTGCTCTAGGGTGTCTAACCTGTGGTGTAGAGACAGTAGCTGTAGAGCCGATGAGAGCTGCCTCTGCGTGGGTAAGCCAATCTTCCATGTTGCTTGAAGACTGGGAGAGTGATCAGTTTCTCCTCCATCCTGTGTGAGTGGTCACTCCGGGGGTCACCATTTGTGGGGTTATGAGATATTGGTTCACACTCAGGATGGGATGGAGAAAGGAAACTCACAATGTGCTCACTGTATACATATTGTATTGGATGTACAATGCAGCTTGTTGCTGGGTAGGTAACATGGTAATAAGCGTTGAGTAGAGAGAGCTGGGTGGTGAGGGTGCCCAGAGGAGGGACACGCGGCTTGAGGGACGCCAAGGTCGCTGGCGGGAGCGGCAGCCGCCAGGCTGGCGCAGAGGAGGAGGTGTTGCTTGCTGGTGGCACTGGGTAGAAAGAGGGCGGTCACAGCGATGTCAGGCCTTATAAGGCGGGGGTAGGCGTGGGTAGATAGTTGACCCCCGCTCCGTGGGCGGTGCTGGAGGCGTAGGCTGGGGAATTCGAGAAGGTTCAGTGCTTGTAGGGGAGGAATCCACTGCAAGAAGGGCAGTGCGGAGGAGGTAATAAGGAATGATGAGGGGGGCAGTGAAGGGTGATGAGTGGGAGTGACGGATAATGAGCACTGTGAGCGGGGCAGTGAGGGGTGATGAGCAGGGCAGTGAGGGGATGATGAGAAAGGCAGTGAGGGCCCTGAAGGATGATGACCTTGGAAGTGAGGGGTGTTAACTGATGATGAGTAGGGCAGTGAGTGGCAATGAGCGAGACAGAGGGGGGTTGGGTGAACAGGGCAGTGAAGGGTGATGAGCAGGACAGTGAAGAGTGATGAGCAGGGAAGTGAGTGATGAGTAGGGCAGTGAAGGGTGATAAGGAGGGCAATGAAGTGTGATGAGCAGGGCAGTGAAGAATGATGAGCAGGGCAATGAAGGGTGGTGAGCAGGGCAGTGAAGGGTGGTGAGCAGGGCAGTGAAGGGTGATGAGCAGGACATGAGATTCTGCTGGAGGTTTTTTAAACTGTATTTGATGTCCCTGACATAATCCAACTTCTTCCTCTTGCATTATTCCCACGTAACTTTATTTAGTTTCTGAAGTTTTGCTTTAGGAAGCACTTTATGTTCATTTCTACCCTCTCTACTTCACTCAAAGAATAGAGCTTAAAATATTATTTTTTTTACTAAATATCACTCATAGTTGACTTTTCAATATTCAAGTCACAACAAACCTTTGCTCTGGGTGTATTATAGTGATGTAGATCTCAAGACTACTGTAGTTCTTCAGGTCTCAGTCTCAGTCTTGGACATCGGTAGTCTTGGATTTTTGTTTGAAGCATTTCAAGACCACAAATTTGAATATCAAATTTCAGGCCTGTTGGGAGTGAATTATCAAAGCATTAAGTTTGAATTCAGGTAAGGCGAGATGCCACACCTCACTAGTTAGATCATCTGAGCCTGTGAAAAATTTACCATAAGTAGGGATTTCCTGGGTCATGATCAATTTTCTTACGCAAGGTAACCTTAGTAAAACTGACATTGATCTCACTAACTGGGCTTACCTGTAGTGCTGCAGTTGAGCAGGAATTTAGCCATAGGGGGTAATAATGAGGCCCCATAGAGCAAATGTACTGAGTACTGTGTCTATGTTGATTCTTCTTAAATGTATTGAAAACTTTCTCTATTTTATATATTACTTTTTTACTTTTATCCTCTTCACCAGTGATCGGCTCATTAGCCGCTTGGGCGATCGGTCACGTCTCTGATTACTTTTTCTTTTTATTTATCCTCTTCACCAAAAGATCGGCTCGCTAACCGCCCGGGCGATCGGTCACGTCTCTGTCACGCACTGTTGGCAAATACTGGGCATGCACCAGCTCCTGAATGTACCTGAACCCGCTCCAGTGTTGGTCAAGTCTTGTCTTGAAAGAGCTCACACTCGGTGCCGTCACAAAACTTTCTGGTAGATTGTTCCAAGAGTTTACAACCCTCACTCCGAAAAAGTTTGCCCTCACAGTTTTCTGGACTTGCGGCTTCTTCAATCTTGAGCTGTGACCCCTTGTGGGGCGAGCGTCCGCCAGCTCCAAGTAAGGACACTCAACTGAGTAGTGCCCCCTGAGATACTTATACACCTCAACTAGGTCACCCCTTGCCCGTCTGTAATATAAGCTAGGCAAGTTCAGGTGCTCCAATCTCTCAGGGTAGCTGAGGTGTCTAAGTGCAGGCATCAGTCTGGTGGCCCTCCTTTGAACATTTTCAAACAACTGAGAGTCCCTAGCATATCTCGGGGACCAGACAGGGTGACAGTACTCCAGATGGGGAAGCACTTCACTCTTGAAGATCGTTACGAGGGACGGACCGTCTAGATATTTGAACGACCTTCTTATAAGACCCAATAATTTATTTGCCTGGTTTACCTTCTTCTCGCAATGGCCCGAGAACTTTAGCTCATTGTCAACATACACACTTAGGTCCTCCTCACATTCAGTCTCAACTAGTGCAGTTTCTTCATCCCGTTGGGACATATGGTACACCTCCTTACCGTTGGTGCGCCCCAGGTGCATCCTCTTACACTTCGTGACATTGAATCTCAGCAGCCATCTCTTCGACCATTCCTGGAGCCCACAGAGGTCCTTCTGCAGCTCTTCACAGTCTGCTTGGTTCTTAATTTCCCGAAATAACTTAGCGTCATCAGCAAACAAGCTTGGTATAATACATATACAGTAACCCCAATGCAATATATAATTAAGAATTAAATGTTTATATCCAATTAATCACAGTTTTATCGCAAAATTTAAAATAAAATACTAATCATTTGGAACCATAGTTGGTACATGCAAACCCATACTAGCTGGTCAATAAAGATACCACTGACCCTCCATCATTCATGGATTCTGAACTCCTCAAAACTATTAAATACAGTACATTACTACGTATTGCACTTTATGAACCAATATCCTAGTTTCACTTAAAAATTATTTTCAGAACTAAGCTTTGCACAGGTTTATAAATAAATGCAGATTATCTAAAGATTAGCCCCAAAGTGCTTATGTGAAGATTCCTTAGCAGATCACACCTTAAGTTTAACCATCCCAACAATATCAGATGGGGAGAGGGGGCGCTAACATCAAGTGATTCATAAATGCTAAATTTGATAATGGTTTTATTCATTGTCTGATGTTGACTCTTTCCAATACTAAACATTTTACACTTTCTCGTCTTCTTCTTCATATTAGTTAAGAAATTTGTTGAATTAATACTTGTATTGTTCCATCATTGTGAAGGGAATGATCAACTTTAAAAGATGATACTCCAAAGGAAAAAAGCTGTGCCACATGTGTACCAGATTGATTGGCACCAACTTTATAAACACACTACCTGGTGGTCAGCCTGAGCTGGGAAAGCTTTACAGCATTTGTAGAAAACTAAAAAAAAAAAAAAAAAATGAAGCTGTATTGGACAATCTATAGGAAGTAGCCAATGAATCTGGAACAAGTGTACAACATCTCATGGTAATAGCATATTGTCCAGGTGTGTTCTT